TATATGTCTAGTTTGTGTGTGATTTATTTCAAAATTTTCTGACCAGTTGATTTTCGATGAAAAATCTTGGAAGTAAATATGTTTTGAGTTGGGTGAAACAGAATTGTTATGTTCGCTCAACAACTTTGAAAAATCATAGAAAATCGAAATTGAAGTTTTTTTTAGATGAATTTTTTATCATAGTTGTGATTGTAGGTATATGTTAAGTGTATTTATTTTCATAATTTTATGACCATTATTTTATTTTATTTTATAAAAATATATCTCGAGTAATGCCCTGATAGTGGAATCTTCAAAACGTATGAAAATGGAGGAAAGTTTTGAATGACTTAGAAATCTTTAAATTTTGAATTATAATTTTTATTATAATCCTAGAATATATGTATTTTGGACTGGAAAATTTCATAGAATTTGGAGTTAGTTTAGATGGCAAAGAATTTTTCCAAAGTTACACTTTTCTAATGCTTATGATAGATTTTTCTTCCTAGAGAAGTGTAAACAAAACTTTAGTTCTAGACCTATTATTTATTTTATGAGTATGTATGATGTGAGAATGATAGTGTAATGAGACATTTTGGGACACAAGATTAAAATAACAAGAGTTTAGAAAATTTGATGGATCGCGATGTGTGCTTGAGTCCGAGAGTGTCCGACTCTTGGCAAATTTTTATTGTTCTTGTTTGATGCAGGAAAATGTGTTTATAAATTTGATTTGAATGTATTTGTAAATTGGGAAATGTCCAAATTACAAAGGAGACTCTGTCAAATTTTTGAAATTGATGAAAAATAAATAAAGCTTAATAAGAATGGTATAAAAAAATGTTATGAATAGTTAATGCATTCATAATCATGGTAGTTAGTGGGAATCATGTCTATAAGTTGTTTGTACTATGTGCTTGAGTCTAAGTCGGAGATGTTGGTCATCTAAAAATAGGGTATTATGTCTATAGTGATATGGTCCGTATGATGTAGAGTTTGTTCCTACCAAATATATTGTTGTTAAAGAGTTGGTGGTGTCACTCGGTGACGATATATGTGTGTGGATGGTACGGAGATACACCGGGGGCTTAGGAGATAAGAGAAGACCAGATTGATCTTGGGGAAATATAGAGTGCATTGTTTGGCCACGCTCTATACTCCCGACTTGACTCTTTGACTTTGCCTTTTTGCCAAGGGATCGTTATGCGTAAGCATTGTATCTGTGATGCGCAGATCAACCGGCAACTGTCTATACTTCTGTGAGCCATTTATGCTCGTGTGTAATTTTGTTATATTTGTGAGAGTTGCCTGTACTTATATGTGATCCTTTCATGGATTGAAAGATGGGATTGATAGTGTATCCTAGGTGCATGATCATTTCAAATGTGGCAAAAATGAACGAATGAAACACAAACATGTATTGTGTGTTTTTAGTTTGAGTAATGTGATTTGTGGAAATTGTTTGAAATTTCTGTGTGGGATACTTTATTGAAAAAAAATGAAATGTTTGACTATAAATGTTACATATGGTTTTAGATTGTAGAGGTTGGAAAAATTTTCGGTTTAGTGTTCGGAGTGATGAGAAAAGGAAACTCATCCTTACTTGTTATATTTCGAGTAATGATGGAACAATTGTGGTGGAGGAACCACGGTTTGATTGAGTATCATATACATATGTATGGAAGAATGCTGCCCTCCGGGAGGGGTATGATCTTGTATAAGAAAGTTAGGAATTTTGGGTACTGCTCTCGATTAGGATTTGCTTTATTTTGAGATGTATAAATTTAAATTAAGTTCTAATCGTTTAAGGGTACCAACTTTATGTAATTATAATATGATCCTTGTTGGATTAGTTATTTTGAAAAACAATGTATTATGATTATGAATGTTATGTATGAACATGTTCGATACCTTATTTATATATATTTATTCACGCATGACCAATTTTAAAGTTCATTGTCATAAAGAAATAATATTGTAAAAAAAAAAATATTCCCATTTTTGAGAAATTAAATAAATTAGAAAAAAAAATGACGTTACATAGGTCATGTTCACATCACGTCTAAATATGAAAAATCTATCAAAGACATAACTTATCTTGACATTAGAGAAAAAAATCAATTATGGATCCAAACATCCAAACAAAGGAATTATAGAAAAAGGAGGTATCTTATTTTGTTGTTGAAAATCTTTTCAAAACTAATCTCATCACAAGGGCTCCAATTGAAGTCAAGTTCTTCCCAAAATGCATTGTCTAGTCAAGGAAAATTGAAACCAAGCTTCTAAATAAAGATATACTACTAGGAATGAACATTTGCTCTTTTTGTAAATAAACTCCAAATCCATTCCACTGGTATAAGATTCAAGATAGAATTTAAAGCTTTCATGGAGATACCCAAACTTTTTTCTCTCTTAGAAGCCCCTCCTAATTTAAAAGAAGTAAAAGTTAAATAAGACACCTTATGTACTAATAATCATGAAGAGTTCTCTCATCCAAACCCTTTATAAAAATATCTTGAATATTTTGTCCAACTTTCCTTTAATATTAATGAAGATGTTAATTACATAAAAGTCATTTACTCACAAATATCTCTATCAAATTTTGTATTAGCTTGTCGAGAATGCAACAAACTATTAAGAAAAGGATTAATTGAACCAACCCAGTCCAATTAGGTTTGCTTAGCCTTCTATATTGAAAAAGTATCTAAGAAACTTGGAGGAAAAAAAAAGATTAGTCATTAACTATAAACCCATTAATCATTTCCTTAATACATGATAAGCTTCCTATTCCAAAAGCATCCTCCTTATCCTTACTTATCAAAGATAGTAATATTTTCTCCAAATTTGATCTTAAATCAAGATTTTGCTAATTGGGTATTGAACCATTTGATATATACAAAATTACTTTTTGTATTCTAATGACCAATACCAATGAAAAATGATATCTTTTAAGTTAAACATATACAAATGAAAATTATTGGGGCAGTCCTCCTTGAAAAAATGGAGAACAAAAAATACTTGAAATCATCCTTATAGATAGGAGTGACAATAAATACTATTCATATTCTTAGTATCGGGAGGTTATTAAGGTTGATAACTAAAAACGCTTTAATATACTCATTGGTAGTCAGAAGTAACTTTGTGTACTTAATACAATCTTATTAATTAAAATCCTTTAAATATTCTTAAACGAGATTAAATGTAACCCTGAAATAGAATAAATCATTATAGAAATCATATATTTTATTTTTTTTATTTGATTTAAAAAAATCTTTAAATCAATTACTATTAAAAAAACTTTAATTCAAACAGTTATTTGTTAGAATTAATATGCATTTTCATCCTCTTAGGTAAAAATTAAATTATCCTTTAAATATAAAAAAATATTTATTATATATAATAATAATAATTAATATTATTATTATAAATATCACTTTTATTTTTTACATCATTTTTTATTTAAGTTTTTTCTCTCATTTTTTCACATCTTTATTTTTTCTAATTTACCTTTTGGCTTTTTTTGTTTCACTTCAATTTCAAACGCTTCACTTCTTATTTTTATATTTTTATTTTTCCTTTATTATTCTTTTACTTAAATACTTTTTTCTTTTATTATTTCACCTTATAAGATAAAAATTATAAATTTTTATATTATTTTACTATTTTTATTTACATGTGTATTATTTATTATAATTATAATTATTTTAATATTTTATAATGCTCAATTTTAATATTTAAATATAAAAAAATTAAGTTAAATTTTATAAATGTTTATGAAAAAATATATATTTATTGTTTAAGAGAAAGAGATGACATAAAATAAAATTAATTTTAAATTATTAAAATAATATTAAAAACATTATTAAACATATTTAATAGTTAATAATATTAAAAAATTATTTAATAATATTTAATATTTTTTATTAAATATAATTAAAACATATTTAATTTTTGTATATATTTATTTTTGTTGATTTTAAATATATGAAAATAATTTATAATTTTTAATAATTTTATAAAAAATATATATTTATATCATAATTAATTTAATGTAAAAAACAATAATATTTACTGTTTATGAAATAAATTCAATGTTAAATTCGTATAAATCTTATTAGTTTCTTTTTTATTTTTAAATTTGAATCTTATATATATTTAAAATTAAATATGAGTTAAACGTGATACCAAATATTAATATAATTATAAAATCAATTAAGATTTAATTGACCAAGTTAATCAAAATTTACTACTTGATACTTGGTACTGGTTGTTATTATAAAATTAAATAAGAGAATATATTTTATAATTTATAAAACAATCAATAGAATTTATCACATTTTATCTATTTACCTAAGAGAATCTTATCTATAAATACATTTAAATTCAAATATACTATAAAATTTGAATAAAAAAATTGTGAATCATAAATTATCAACTAAAATGAGCAAATTAGGATGGTTCACTGAATTAAATATTTGATAATTAAATAATTATCTTAATTATGTTTTTTATTTATTAAAAAATAAATGAAATATTTGTATGTAAATTATAGTATAACCATATGATATTTATTTACATGATAATTTTTTGAATACAGAGATTTTATTTTTCTATTTTCAAGATTTAAAAAAAAAATTAAAATGATGTTACGTGTGATGGGACCTGCATTATCTGAAGTTACAGATACTGTTATTTATTTATGATTTCAAAAATAAAAAATGAATTTTGAAAATATAAACCTCAACATTTGTGTTATTATATTGCCTTACATGTCAATTAATTCTTTTCTTCAGTCAATTCTCTTTCGTTGTTGGCGCCAAATTTACTAGGTCCAAACCCCATTATCTCTTTCAGCACTTCTCTCTCATGAGTTTTATTTTTAACAAGTTTTTATGCTATTATCATATTTCTCTTCCTTTTCTACTCCTCTTCTGATAAATTCTCCATTTACTACCTGAGAGAGAAAAAAAAAAAAAAAACAAACAAAATTACTTTCTTTGTTTGGTCCTTTGCTGAGTGAAATGAATGTTGGGGCTCCCATTGCTTGCAGAACTCGCAATAAGAAGAGGAAGTTGCTTGAGAATGCTTTAAGAATGAGTGCGGAGAGGAAGAAGGCGCGGGAACGGGAAGCAATGAAACGTGAAGTCGCAAGTGTGAAAATTGGACGTCGGTCTGTCGCTTCGTCCTCAACATCTGCTGCTCTTGCATTGAACTGTGAAAGGGTGTCGGAACATGATTTTGAGCGTTTGGGAGGGTGTGAGGATGACCCTATTGAGATTAGTGATAGTGATGATGGAAGTGATGCTGAAGAGGGGTTGAGGAATTCTGAGAATGATAAATTTTGGGTTGAAGTGGAAAGGAAGAGTGAGGAAGATAAAGGGTGTTTTATGTCAAGTGATAAAGTTGTGAACTTTGGCAATGATGACTGTGGTTGTGTAGGTGAAAACCCGGTTGTATTGATGACTGATAAAGATGGGGATGGTCATGCGCATGTTTTGCTTTTGTCCTCTACGGAGAGTGAGGATGGTGAGACCAGCGATGAAGATTTTCAGGTTGATGATGATTGTGATGATGATGGGTTTGAGACTGAAGACCAGATCAATGACGAGAGTGATGATGATGCTGTGAGGGGGGGTCACAGGAAGATAGTGAAGGGTGCTATGGTGAGAAAGATGCAGAGTGAAATTGAAAACAGTGGAATTTGCAAAAGGAAAAGAGATCGGAAAGATAATGAGCAGGTAGATGAGGTGGAGCAAGCTAATTGTGCTAGCGCGACGTCTAGAAAATCTGAGATTTATAAGCAGGAAGGAAGGCATGCAGCACAGAAACATGAACCAAAGAGAGAGCAAAGAGTCATTGCTGATTTTGAAGGCTTTGGTGTTCACAGGGAATGTTCAGGTCGTTCTACGCCTTCTGAAGCTCCAGAGCATACGAAGAAAAGTGATAGAGATGATCAAAGTGCGACATTGGAGAAACAGATAGGAGTTTCAACCGTGCTCGAGAAGAGTGGGATAATCAATAATATCAATACCATTGATTGGGTGAATATTGATGATATTGAAAGAAAAGAGAATCCACACAGCAAAGGACCTGGTCTGAGGAGTGCTTCTTTACGTCCGAAAAGACAAAAGGAGACAGGAGATTCAGCTAAACTAGTAATGGAAAAGGACAAGGAAAGGGAACAGAAATATTTGTTTGGTAGCAATAACGGTGAGAAGGTAAGGGTGGTGGATTATGAAACTGGTGACGAAGAGCTGCATGAAGTCCTAAAGATGCCATCTACATTGAAGAACAAATGTTATAAAATTTTTACTGAATGCTTTATAGGCAAGAATGATTCTGTTATGGATGATTCAAATGAGTTGGAAGAAAGGGATGATGATGTTGCTGCGAGTCAGACTCAGCCATCAGCTTCTAGGGAGCCCATCCCTTTGAATTGGAACTTTACGAACGAAGAAGAACCCATTGAAAAATCAGAGCAAGAGAAGGAGTTAGATATGTTGTGGGGTGAAATGGATATGTTGCTTCGACTTGAAGAAATTGGGTCTCAGGTAAACTCACTTTTATTATCTGAAAGACTGAAGAAAATATATAAATGATATTAAGAATCTAAATTTTAAGTTTGTATTTTTACGTGTATATATGAATCAAGCAGTGCTTAAGAAGGATACTAGTTGTAGGGTGCTAGTATGTCATTTTGAATATTTGAGCTCAGTTTTGAATTCTTCACGAATTGATATATGTTCAAAAACCAAATTGTTATTTATATGAGAGAAGTGTGTTAGGTTTGTAGGTTGAACAAAATATCACTCTAACTACATTCAAGATCAACTATGAAATGCAAACACACCCGAAATTAGTACCTAACTTTGTATGCTATAATCTTCAGGTTAATAATACAGAGACAAATGAAGCAAGAGAAAACGAAGAAAAACCAGCATCGCAGTGCAAGCATGACACTATTTTTAACGAGCAGATTGGGATATATTGTCGATGGTGTGGTTGGATTGCAACTGAAATCAAATATATCACGCCACCATTTGTAAGCACAGTTTGGATTTGATGATGGTTTATAGAAAATTAATTTCGTTATGTTTAGAATGTTAAGTAGACTTTGTTATTATCCCTTTTTTTCACTGTATCTTATCACTTCTAATTTTGACAAAAGACTGATATGTGTTCTTAGCTGTGGAACTATGATGCTCAGTATTGTTAACTATTTTTGTGTCTTTTTCTTATTTAAAAAAGCAAAGCATGTATTGACTGTTGTATGTGGGAACCATAGAGCTTAAATAAGTTTTTGCTATTTTATGTTTGTTCTGATTTGATGTCATGGTTAATGAAATTGGTAGGTTGATGGAAAGTACTGATGTATGTGTCATTTTCTGTGTTGTGCTTAATATAGGTGGATCGTGAAAGATATGGTGGTGGAGGCGTGTCATATGGTGGAGGGAGCACCTCAAATTTCGATAGGATTCTGCTTAATGAGTCAGGTGATGACTTAGAGGCAATTTGGTCTCACAATGAAGGCACAGTTTGGAACCTTATTCCTGACATAAAACGAAGCTTGTATCCTCACCAACAAGAAGGGTTTGAGTTTATTTGGACAAACTTAGAAGGAACTATTGATCTTGCCAAATTGAAGAGTGTTGACCCATGTAATGAAGGTGGCTGCATTATTTCTCATGCTCCTGGAACTGGAAAGACAAGGTTGACCATGGTGTTTCTTCAGACATATTTGCAATTGTTTCCCAAGTGTCTGCCTGTTATCATTGCTCCTTCCAACATATTGCTTACTTGGGAAGACGAGCTAAGAAAGTGGAACATAGGAATTCCATTCCATAACTTGAACAATCCTGAATTATCAGGAAACGAGTTAGTGATCAATGAGGTTGATTGGTCTGGCACTCAGAGGCAGAATAAGGATGCCATACGGATGGTGAAGTTGTGTTCATGGTACAAAGAGAAGAGCATTCTTTTAATCAGCTACAATCTGTACGAGAAACTAGCAGGGGCCACGACTGAAGATTATGGGGAAAAAGACAAAAATAATGGAAAGATGAAAAATAAGAAGCGTGCAAGGACAGGGGAGTACATTGAAAGTGGAATGGGAAAGGTTCTGCGTGACTATCCTGGTTTGCTAGTTCTTGACGAAGGGCATACTCCTCGGAATCAGAATAGTTATATTTGGAAGGTTCTTTCTGAAAGTAGAACTCAGAAGCGAATTCTTCTTTCAGGGACTCCTTTTCAGAACAATTTTTTGGAACTTTACAATATTTTGTGCTTAATGAAACCATCCTTTCCTGACAGCATACCACAAGAACTCAAGAAGTTTTGCCAAAGTAGATTAATGCACCAAAGGAAAGCTTCGAAAGATATGAGTTGGGAACCTGTTTCTGCTGGAAATCCAGCTGATGAGAAAATAAACCAACTAAAATTGCTGATGAATCCCTTTGTTCATGTTCACAAAGGTAGCATTCTTCAGAAGAATCTTCCTGGGTTGAGAGATTGTGTGCTGGTTCTGAAGCCAGACACATTGCAGCAAGAAACTCTAGAGAGCATTGAATGTTCTCAAAACGTGCTAAACTTTGAACACAAGTTGGCCTTGGTCTCAGTCCATCCATCCCTTTTCCTCACTTGCCTTTTGTCAAAAAAAGAAGAATCTATTGTTGACAAGAATAAGTTGGAAAAACTTAGATTGAACCCTTATGCAGGGGTGAAAACCAAATTTCTGATCGAGTTTATTAGACTCTGTGATGCAGTTAATGAGAAAGTCCTTGTTTTCAGCCAATTCATTGATACCTTAATCTTGATCAAAGACCAACTCGAGTCAGCCTTCAATTGGACTGTGGGAATGGAAGTGTTGTATATGTATGGCAAACTTGATCAAAAGCAAAAACAGTCCCTAATTCATAGTTTCAATGATGCAAATAGCCAAGCAAAGGTGTTACTTGCTTCTATAAAAGCATCTTCTGAAGGCATTAACTTAATTGGAGCTTCAAGGGTCGTGCTTCTTGATGTTGTTTGGAATCCCTCAGTGGAAAGGCAAGCTATTTGCCGAGCATATAGACTTGGACAAAAGAAGGTTGTTTTCACTTATCATCTTCTTGCACAGGGAACCCCTGAATGTACCAAATATCGTAAACAGGCAGAAAAGAACCGGTTATCTGAACTGGTTTTCTCAAATAAAAATGCTGAAAGTGATAAGCTCAAGAATAGTGGAGTAATGTTTGAGGATAGAGTTCTTGATCTCATGGTTCAGCATGAAAAACTCAAGGATATGTTTGGTGAATGTCTGATTCAGCCAAAGAAGATTTTGGGCCCCTGATGCTTTGATTATTGAAACTTGGTTAAGTTAGATACGATTGATTTGTATTTTTGGTTTTACAAAATATTAGCAACAGTTGCAGCTAATGGTTAACAATTGAAGATCATTATTGGCTCCATTTTTTTTATCATCTGTGTGTCTATATGTTTCTTGCACATTTTATATCCAAATATTTGTAGTTTTATTTTTGTTCTCAGTTTTGTCTGTATAAACCGGTTATTGTTTGAACAACTCTGGATGGGTAGTACAGCAAATGCAATTGTAAACCCAATTTTGAATTTTGAAAACTAGGAATGATCACACTTTTTTTACTGCTACATAGACTTAATAACCATAGATTACACAACTGTTTATGTAATATTAAGTTATCTTTAGGATAGTGTTAGGAGAAAATATTGTTTCTTGCTCATCCATATTAGTTGATGACATCATATGGCTTGATATAAGGTCAAGAAAAATATTGGAAATGAAATAAGGTTCATCTCCATTTCAGAACTAATTATTGAATGACTTGTAAATTAAAGTTGAGTATTCATGAATTGAAGTTGAGTACCAAAAGCTTTGAAGGTTGAAGAATATTTTTTATTGCTGTGTTTATTAATAGTATAGATTTGACATTCTCATAAAAATTTCTTTTTTCTTGAATAGGAAATTCATTTAAGATTAACCTACAAATTGTACTTAGAATCTTTTTAGCTTTTCATATATTGCATAATTTAAGATTTTCAGTACTTAATTTGTAACGTGATTTATAGTTGTTTTTCTTGTCTATGAAGCTATTGTAATACTTAAACTAGGAAGTTTATTTTTTTTATTTGGTATTCTTAAAATAGTATTAATAGTTTTAGGCATGTGATATATAATCAAGAAATATTATATTTATTGTTTGGTATTCTTAAAATAGTATTAATGATTTTAGGTATGAGTTACGTAATCAAGAAATATGATGAGATAATAGATTTATTTAATAGATATCATCATTTACTTTTGGCATTTAAAGAGTAAAAAAAATTTGTCAATACATATTTGTAACAACTTATTTAAAACAACAAGAAGAGAAACATAGAAAAAACCTACTTATACATGTTTCTTCTAATTTTTTTTTCCTTCTATAATTAACCTACACTAAATAGGTGTTACAGAAGCACAATATTGATCTATAAAATTTTCTAGAAACTTATTATTTAAAATAATATTACGGTATATGAATTTTATGCAATACTATTTTCTAACACATCTATTTTGTTTACTGAAATTTTCATAATATACTGTTTATTCCTAACTAATGTTTCTTAGTTATTTTTTAATGTATTACAGAATAAACATTGTAAAAGATATTATATTTTGATTATGGAATAGGTGTTTCGGACGAATAAAACCTATTTATAATGTATTTTGAACACTTATAATTATTTTTTTGTTACAATTTTTTTAACATTTTCATAATACGGTAAAAATATTGTTATGAATTTCATAATTTGAAGAAAAAGAATGGATAAAAAAACACTTAAATGTGTAGGGTTAAAATATTATTTTAAAAAATTACACTAAGCATAATTTAAAAATGCAATAATAAAACTTAACTTTAATATCTAGTACATTTCAAAGTATAAATATTTTGATATATATATATATATATATATATATATATATATATATATATATTTTTTTTTTTTCATAATCAAAACTACTAATAAATCATAATTGATAATATCTTTATTTCTCATCGAGTAAAAAAATATTTAAGAAGTTCACTTGAAGACAAAAAAATCTTAAAAAAAATATAAAATGAATTTTACATCGGATTATGAAATTCTATATAAAGTTATTTATTAATCTAACTAGAAAAAACTGAAAAATAAAATAAAGTTTATTTTGCGCTACTGAGGAGAAAAATATAGGAAAAACATATTTAAAAGAAAACCTAGATAATGTGTGGAAAGAATGTGTCATAATATAAGAGAAGTAGAAAATTTTTAATACGAAGAATATACAAAACATATGACACGTAATTAGAAAAGGAAGCAAAATAAAATTTCAATTACAATATTACACAACAAAACATAAAAAAAAATTATTTTAAAAACTTAAGAATATAAAAGATGTGAAAACATGTTTATGTTTCTAATAATAATAAGAATAATAAATATTAATAATAATAATTTCATATAAAATGCAAGTCACGTTACGTCACCATTATTGATATTTTTATTTCATAAAAATATATTATTAGATTCAATTATGTAAAAAAAAGTATATTAATATGTAGTTTGATTAAATTAATCAATAAAATTATTAAATTTGAAACGAATTTTTATCTCCAACCATAATTAATATTAATATAAACATTAACTATTACATGTTAATAATATATAGAAATCATTCTATTAAATCTGTATTAATATTTTGATATTACAAATATATATATATATATATATATATATATATATATATATATATATATATATATTTCTAGTTTTTTTAAATACTTTTTTTTCTTCTAAAATGATATGTTTGTTATAAATTTTTGAATAGACGGATTGATAAATACAAAGAACAAAAATGTAAATCCATTAATTATTTTTTTCTATTCTGAATTTTTATCTTTTGAATTTTATTTAGTTATTATATATATATATATATATATTTTAATATTTAGTATTAAATTTTGTTTTCTAATATTATTGATAGAAACTAATAAAATTTTACAAAATTTTTGGGTATATCAATTTTTTTATCCTCTCTATTTAAGAGGTAATTTATATTTTTGTTAAGTTAATAAAGACATTGTTATGCATTTTGTAGTAATAGCAACAATGACAATATAGTGAGAATACGAGAAAGAGTGAAAAGAGTTTGTGAGTATAAAACAATTTAAGAAAAATATGGTGACTATAGACAAGAAAACTACCTAACATGTCAACTCGATAGATTAAGACAGAATGGAACGAGCAAGTCCATTGATTTTCTTTAAAAATATATTTATATATTAAAATTAAAATAAGAAAAATATTATAATTAAAAATATTATATTTTTTTGTTATATTATTAAAATATGTAAATTATAATATTATAATTTAAATTATAAAAATGAAGAAATTAAATTTAAATTATTAATTATAATTAATTATTTTAATACATAAATATAATAATTTTTTCAATTTATCTAATAAAAATATTAATTAATAAATACAAACTTAAAAATTATTCATATAATTAAATTTATATTTAAAAAATATATATAAATACAAAGTAGGGAAAATCCATTTTGTCATCTTAACCACAATTAATTATAATAATATATGATTTATAGTTAAAAATTGTTGGTTAATAATACCCATTAAAAAAGCTCATAATATTTAAAGCTTCAATGATTCGAATTTACTGGACAGAAAGTTAAATGAAGAAAATAAGAAAAAGGACACTTAGACATTATCCAAAATCAATTCGGAGTAAACTCTTTTATTATTCTGTAAGGATGCAAATTACAAATTTGCAAACACTTATCATAGAAAAGAGTAAGGAACAAAAATTGAAGTTGTAATACGAGATTATTATAAATATGAGATATCTAACTTAGAAAGTATTACACCTAATAAAAAGAGTATTTCAGTATATTTATTGTGATAATATTTTAGAGTTAATTTTTATATAAAAAATATTGTTTATTTTAAAGTTCTCATTTGTCATTTTTTTTTTTTAGATTTGTTGGTGGGTTAAGAGATGAATGTGTATATAATTATCCTTAGTCTCGATTTCTAAATGGTGTGAGATTCATGAGTATATCAGAACATAAGACCCCAATCAAAGACTAAGGAATATGAGTGGAGTGAGACTCTATTCTCGGTCCCATGATGAATGCCAATATTTTGTTTAGGATTGAGATTGTCCCGGTCTCATGTCCTTTATAATAATATTATTAGGGTCAATTTTTATATCCGCATAAATTTCACGTCATTTAGGAATTGAATTCAAAGGTAATTTATATATACTCTTATCTTTTAATCTATCAAAACTTCTTATCTTTTAATCTATCAAAACTTCTTTAAAAAACAAAACTATAATGGACGACAACTTTAAAACAAACCATACTTCTTACATAAGAATTGAGACAGAATAAATATTATGATATTTCTAATCTTGTTAATAAGACGAGGATGAATAAAAAGAGATACCTTATATCGAGATGGTTGAGAAAATTTTATATATCTTTTTGATCCAATACGAATATATAATGATTATAATAATAGATTACCAAAACATATATATAGTACAATAGGAAACAGAGTATCAAACAAGGATTAAAAGTCATGTAAGAAGAGTACTATAAAAAGTAGAAAAAGATAAATGAAAAATATTAGAAGAGTTTTAATGATTTCAATAACAGAGGCAAAGAAAATTCTAAAGAAAAATATCATGATAATTTTAGAGGAAGAACACGTTATAATTTCAATAAACGAAAATAATAATTTCAAACCTTCAACTTAACAAATTAGTTCCACTAATGGAAAGTTTAGACATAGAATAATAAATCGTAGTAACAATTTATTAGTGACAATTAGAACAATATAAAAATTTTATTTTTAACAAGCATAAAAGATGATATATTAATTGTAAGAACTATTTTCTTTTCTAGATATATCAGTGAAGTTTATAATAAAATATGAAAATAACACTAATATTTCAAGTTTGGGGAAAGGTAGCATCACATTTAGCATTAGTGCGAAAAGGTTATTTTAACTTATTTAAAATTTAACATGGTGTGAGTTTTATAAATGTTGGATGCACTTTTTACATCAGTTGTTTTTATCAACGGATGCAAAAGGTGAGAGTTTTCTTCATTAATGTAAATAGAATAAACAAAATGTACTTGCCCTTAGCACTAGTCTTGTAGTGTCAATCAATCAGATATTAAATAAAGTCCTCTTAGTCTCATAAATGTTTATAGTATGAGCCAATCTAGATATCATCACAGCAATGGTTCATTAAACTTAGAAGTACTACATGGATATATATAAAATGAAAAGAGAAAATAAAATAAAATTTAAAATAATATTTTAAAAATTAATTATAAAAAATATGGATACACACCTATATTTTCATTAGTTTAAATAATATATCTATCAAAATAATTTTTATATAATAAAAATATAAAAAATTGATATACATGAACATTAAAATAATATCATCAGATATACAGAATTTAAATTATGTAAAAAAGTTATTGAGGCTAATTTAAGCAATTTTTACCTATAATATAAAATATTATATATATATATATATATATATATATATATATATTAAAGCTATGAATGTTAATTTCTTTATATCATTAGTATTAATTTATATTTTATTTAATAAAGATATAATGGTGATTATTATAAGATGATACCATTACGGATAATTATATTTTTTAAAAACCATTTGAAATTAATTAACATAAAAATAATTAAATTTGAAAACTCTAACAACTTCCCATTAATGATTTATTATGATTTTATAATAAAAAAATCAAGAGTAGTAGTTATGTATATATTGAAGCTTTGCATTTATATACTTAAAGTTGGTATTTTGTAAAATAAATATTACTAGTGTATAGTTTAATTTTTTTATTAGAACTAATTGTAATTTTAAAAACTGTTACAGTTTTTAAACAGAACATTGGTAACAGGTAAGAAAATCAATCAATTGGTATATTAAAAATTAACAACTATAAAATGAAATTCATGAATAATGATATTATAGTTGATCAAATAATAAACTATATTACGTTTGTCTTTAAATAATAATAATAAATATTTTTGCACAATGTTTTGTTATATATGTAAGTGATTTAATTTTGCATTAACAATAATTATGATTTCCAAGAACTATCACAATCTTAAAAAAAAAAACTATAACAGATTGAAAATTTAATTAATTAATTAATTTGGTATAATAAAAAGTAGTTACTATAATACGATATTAATTTTAAATAATATGAATAACAAATTATTGGTATTTAAATAATAATAATAATAATAATAATATATTACCTAACTTTTAAAAATTATTCTATCTGTAATATGGCTATAGTAGGATATTAGTTTTAAACAAGTTTTAATTTATGTATAAAACAATATTCATAATGAAAGAATTAGAAGAATATATTTAAGTTTTGCCTCATCGGTGAAGTTGTTATTATTACAATAAATATTAGCAAAGTAAATAATTTTATATTCGAATATGAATATTTTTTATTGTCAGAAACGATTACTGTTTTAAAAATTTAGGATAACGGTTACAAATTAAAGAATTAATCAATTTTAATATTTAGAAATGTTTATTATAGTAGGATATTAATTTTAAATAATATGAATAACCAATTTTCGTGTTTAAAAATAGTAAATATATATATTATATATCATAGTGTAATAATTTTCTTAAAAAATATTTTATATATGATATAACTATAGTAGAATATCAATGTCATATATTTCTTATAAAATAAATAGGTAGTAATATAAATTTAAAATTTTATAAAAATATTCAAATATTAAAGTTTTAGCGTATATATATAATATTTAAAACCATAATTTCATTAAAAAATAATTTTTAATTTTAAAATAAAATATATTTATTTGATTTTAAACTCTATAAGCAGAGGACTATACTATATTTTATATTTAGATTGTATTAAATATAATATATATATTTATTATCTCATTAACGTAAATTTATTTATGATAATTTTAATTTTTAGGGTTGTTAATAATAAAAAAATAGTGTTATTTAAAATAAAACTAACATATATAATTTCCCTAGATGTCAAATATAATTCTAAAATAAAATTATCTAAAATTATATATATATATATATATATATATATATATATAAATGTCATAGACGTCAACTTATTCTAAAATAAGACCAACTTAGATGATAGAAAGAAAAAACTCTGGGATTATTGAACATAAGAAACTTAAGTTGAGCTAATGGGATACTCTTTTCCTTAAAATCTCTTTATGAAGATTAGAATGCTTCTTCAAATCGTAGGTAGGACTTTTTGCAGGTCTATATTCTGGAAACAATCTTCCTGACTTATACCTAACACCACAAGCATTGCATAAAGTTTTTGGTCCCAAAGGACCAGTTCTCCATTGAGGGGTGGATCTCGATTCGCAGTGACTACATCTTTTTCCAATCTTAGCATCATTCCATAAACACTTAAGATAAATTAATATTTTAAATAAAATCATAATAAAAGTTTGTAAACATAATAATTCTAAATTAGCTCATATTCATGACCAACGTGACAGTATCAATAATGGCCTTAAGTCATTTAAAATTTTGACATATAATTTAGTTATTTAAATTAATTCATTTATAAACATTCTATCACCCAAGAATGCACATTGTGTCATTATGTATAGGCACCAAAAATGTCTTATAAGACTTTACTTCACTTCATGTCCCTACACACTTCAATTTATAACATTAAACGTGAGGCATCAATCGCTTCAACAGGTGTGGTTTATATGTAAAGGAAAACAAAAATTGAGAATTATGATGTATGATTCTTCCATTTATTTTGAGATTGACAAAAGTAATAAAATTATCTTAATATTTAATTTGTTATATTATTACTTTTCATGTTTTGAATTTGCTTTGATCTTATTTTATGCAATAGAAAGTTAAAATAAAATCTTTTCAATTTTTGCTTAAATAATAATAGCTTAAACTATTATTAACCCAACTTCTAAGTGACTGTCGCTTAGGCTTGTTAATTCACACCTAAGCCTCTCTTGGTTAAGCTACTATTTCTAATTTGTTACATAATTATATTTTTATAATTACTAATATTAATAATATATATATATATATATATATATATAAATAATATCATACCAAATATACAGTAAATATATTAGAGGTTCCATATATTATATTTAATGTATTTAATGATAAGTATAAAGGATATATTTTGAACCCAAATAGTTAGGTAAGGTTACAATTATTTGTAAAAGAATACTTTAAATATAAAATTGATATTATAGTTTAAATCGGTAATAAATATCTTTTTATTTCAAATAGTATAATAAGAAATTTGGTACATAATTTATGTTTTGGTTTATAGAAAATTAAGATTTAAACATTTTAGTAGTTTATTTTCTAATTTGATTTTTATTTAAAGAATAAGTAGTTTGTAAGCTTTACGAGAATGAAGTGCATGAGTTATTGTAAATTCTCTTATTCATTTTTTTTAATTTCTGGGGATTAGAGAAAATATTAAATATTTTCTGATATTTCATTCAATTAATTTACTAGAATAACATATATTTTCGTATAATCATTGTTACAAATGATTGTGTTTACTACAATAAAAACACTTTGTCTCTAGTCCCATAATTATTCAGTCAAATTTTTACTCATCACCGATAAAAGAAAAAGAGTATGAATTTATTTTGATGTGAAATAACAACTACGAGGTATGTAACTTTGAATGCCACATAAGAAATAATATTATTTTTTATTTAATTTAAAAATTAAAAAGTCACGTATCTAAAAAATATCTAATATCCTTTTTTAAATTAATTAAAAAAATTGAACGACATGTATATAAGAATCTAGATTTCCAAATCATGTAGAGAATTATTAAAATCCAAACCTAAGTTGCATAATTATAATTCTTGTGACATTTTTCGGAATGTTGTATTAGATCAAGTTGAGTTTTAAGTTCATAGTTGAAGATCCTAATATCCTGAAGAGATAAATAAATCGGATAATTTATATTATTTAGAGTTTACGATTTTGTAGTAAGTTATCTAAGTCATATAAAATAGGATTGCATGTGGGAGCCATGAGCTTAAGTCATATAAAATGGGATTGCATGTGGGAGCCATAGAGTTATGTAATATTTCTATATTTTGCTTTTATTATTAAAAGTAACTTTTGAAAAAAATACACGTAGTATAGTTTTTGAAAATAAAAATCAAACTCCCAATATAAGCACATATTTATTACCTTGCTTTTCTCTTTCTTTATAAAAAAGAGAGACATGTCCAGATCACCACAACCTTTATTTCCACTAAAAAGAAGAAGACACTTACACAAGGCTATGACACAAGATAAAATTTGTTGTTAATTTTTTATAATTTTCTTTTATCTTGTTTGTGTATTCATTAATGTAAAAATAATATTTTATGAAAATTTATTAGGGTGATTCTAATTTATCCGCCATAATAAATTTGGTAGTGATAATTTTATAATTAAATTTTTTTTATGATTTTCTATATTTGAACCGTCATAGTAAATAGATTTCATGTCAATTTAATTTTGAATTATCATATTAAGTATTTTGAAAATTGTAAATTTAGATATTTTTTTATGTGAGTTCAATTTTGAACCAGTCATAGTATGTATTTATTATAACAGTTAAAATTTGAACTGACATAGAAAATGACTTTGTCAATTTTAAATATAAGACACTTTCTATGTCGATTAAAATTGATTTGTGGTAGTAAGTACTTATTATGACGACTCAATTTGAACCACCATAAAAAGTGTCTTAAAAATTTTAACTTCATTTTATCCTCCTCATCTTTCTTATTTTTCATTTTTTTCCCTTGTACATCAAAGAAATCTACTAAACTTATTCTTTCTTTTGTTTTATTACCTTTTCATCACATTTATTTACTTTTGTTTTTCTCATGCTTGAACCACCACTTTCCACAGTCTTACTTCCTCATTTACAAAAAAGTAAAATATGGAAGCATTGTCTCATTTTTTTATATTAGTTTATATTTCTTGATTTGGTTTAATGAAGTGTTCTAATATGGTATATTGCAATTATCATTGTGAAATTTTTTCCTCTATTAATGATTTTTCATCCAATTTAAATGAATATATCTATATTTTATGTTTAATTTTTTTTTGTATGTGAATAACGCTTGTATTTAATTTTTAAAATTTATTATATTGAAAACTGCTTTGATAAAATGTTCATAAGATTTTATCACTTGCAGGATTCAAATCCAATACCTTAAAGTTGGATGTTGATACTCCAATCACTAGACTACTAAATTTCTCTAATAATAATTTACAAATAAATTATATTTATATACAAATAAATGTATATCCGTTTAAATATATAATTATATAATATATAAATACAAATATATGTATATATTTTGATATATTTATATAGTTATATATTTATATGTTGGATGTGAGGGCGCGCTCGACGGTAAAAGTGTGTGTCGTGTTTATTAGAATATATTTAAAAATAAGTAATTATTATATAATTTTAAATATTTAATTTTTTAATTTAATATTGATTTTTAAAAATATATTTTAAATTCATCGATAAATGAACAAATAATTACCGACGGATATATCCGTCGATAACTAATTGTCCATTTATTAAAATTATTAATTTATCGATGGATATATCCGTCAGTAATTACTTGTTCATTTATTAACGGATTTACCGACGAATCTCCGTTGATAATTAATTATTCATTTACTTTGGTAATTAATTGTTCATTTACCGATGGATATATCCGTCGGTAAGACCAAATTCCACAACTACTCTAAATCTGTCGGTAATTTTTGTCGGTAATCACTTATTTTTCGACGGATATATATCCGTCGGTAATATAAGATTTTCTTGTAGTGGACATTTTTGGGTGTTGTATTAGACTAAGTTGAGCTTTAAGTCCTCTATTGAAGTCCCTTCACTAATATACTGAAGATGTAAACAAACTGGGTTAGTTATACTATTTAGGATTTAGGGATTTATAGTACTAACTCAAGGATTTAAGTCATATAAAGTGGGATTGCATGTGGGAGCCATGAGCTTAATGTTATAAAGATTTTTCTATATTTTGTTTTTATTACTAAAAGTAACTTTTGAAAAATACACCCATTATAGTTTTTGAAAATAAAAATCAATCACCCAATAGTACATATTTATTACCTTCCTTTTCTCTTTCTTTCCAAAAAAAAAAAAGAGGATATATGCACAAGGCCATGACCTTTATTTCAAGTAAAAAAGAAGAAGAAGAAAACACCTGCAAAAGACTTTGATAACATCTTACTACCTTGTTTTTCTCTTTCTTTAAAAAAAAGGGGGATATATGCACAAGGCCATGGTCTTTATTTTTAGTAAAAAGAAAAAAAAAAGACACATACACATGGCTATGATGGTCCTACGATGGGTGACTTCATGTCAATTATGATAATATTGTTAGGGTCAATTTCTATACCTGAGGTATTGTCTACTTTAGAACTATCATCCGTCATGATTTTGTCCTTAAAAAACATTTCAGTAGGTTAAGAGAGGAGTGTGTTTATAAACTACCATTGACCTCGACTCCTAAGCAATGTGAGACTCATGAGTGTTCCGAAACAAGTTTGTTGTTAATCCTTTTTATAATTTTATTCTTTGTGCATTAAAATTTTGTACTATTTGGGTAATTCTACTGTCACTCACATCTTGTCTGACTTAGTTGTATCATAGTAGTAACATTAAAACAAGAGTGAGACAAATGTTAGTCACAACCGATTGGAAGGCACAAGATAAAAGTTGGTCAGAGTCGCTATAATCCACCAAAATAGTTCATCACATAACAAGGAGCAAGTAAACACACAATGAGAACATCCACAAAATCAATTTATTAGGAATATACGAATACAATGATCCATCGTATGATTCATAATTTAGGATTCTTTGTACGATAATTGGGATTCTACTTTCCTAAAAGTTGGAACTTTCAATTTTTTTAATTAATTTAGAAAATGATATTACATAATTTATGTGAAACATGACATTTTTAATTTAAAAAAAACATTATTATTTCTTAAATGACATTTAAAACCACACACATCATCACTTGTTGTATAAAATGGTATAAAAACTAACATTTTTTTTATAATGACGAGATAAACAAAATTTTTTTGTCTAGATGTCATAAAAAAAATTATAATGAAAATAATATAGTACTAAAACTTACTTAGGTTGTATTCTCGAAGATAATTGCTAAGTTTTCTAATTATCAAATGCTAGGAATGTAGGGAATTTTGAGAATTATGATGTAAAAATCATGGTTATCAAAATCGGACCGTGAATGGGAACCAATCCGATAACCAGTTTGAAGCTCCCTAAACCCTAGATGTACAATGAACTAGTCAAAAATCGGTTAAATCGATAAAATCGGAAGGGTCAAGCAGTTATCCTTTTTTCTTAAAAAAAAAAAGAGTCTAAACGACGTCATTTTGTCCTATATTTACTTTTTGTTCTTTATTTTAACACTGGGACACACAAATGTGAAGAGAGAAAGTTTTTTGGACTGGGGATGATATTCTTCGTTCATTGCAATCTTTGTGTCTCGCCCTTGCTGCCATTATGGTATACTATTATCACTATAAGCATTCATGAAAACACAACAATATGTAAGAATCACAATTTCTTCATTTCAAAAAATTAATTTGATAAAACAATTTTTGAAGTTGTTACACTATAAAGGAATAATATTTTCAAAGGGTGCATATTTCATGAAACTAAATTTAGAATCTTCTAAAATTAGGGTTTTTTTAAAATTGGGGTTTTCTAAAATTTTGTGGTTTCTAAAATTGGATACTAGGAGTAAAATTGATATTGATGAGTGTGTACTAGACTAAATGTAGTGAGTTATTCTAGTTGTCATTCTCACCAATTCACTCTCAGGTATTTACGTGAAACATCTAGACTTAATTTGCTTAAATTTATTCAAATAATCATCAATATTTTCATTATGATATCTTTTTACATTCAATAAATCGATTAGACTAACTTGTGTTTCTCCTCTAAAAACTTTTTCATGGAAGCTCCTCTCTAATTGTGCTCAATTAAAGATTGAATTACGAGGGAGTGTTGTGAATCATGTAAAAACATTTTTTGTTAGAGAATTAGGAAAATACTTCATTATCAAATTTTTCTTTGTTAAAATATTCTCACATTCAATTTGATACCTTGCAATATGATTTATAGTCGATTCCCCAATATCACTTGAAAATTTTGTAAATTTTGGTACATTTTGTCCTCGAGGAAAATCAACTTCAAGAACAAAATAAAAAAATGGTGAAATAAAATATGATTGATTATACAATCTCATTCTCATAATAGGCTGATTTTTCATTGTCCTAAAATTTGGTTATAAGCATTATGTTAATAATTCCCATTATTTTGATTATTTCTTTGTACACTATTCCACATTTGCACAATTTGGTCCCTAATACTGATTTTTCCCTATTGACCATTTAAACATTTCTTATTTGATTTTGATTTCCTTGAACATTTCAAAAAATTATTGTGACCTTTATGTTTATCTTAGTTATTCCCCATTTGTAAATTATTATTCTTTAATTCATTCTAGGAATGGCGAGTGCATCCACTATCCTATTCATCTGTTCGGTTAACCTTTGAAAACTATCAACTGTAGTTTGTACTAGAGGGCTTAAACTTGTAATCATTTGCTGAGACAACAAATTTACCATTTCATAACTACTATCATCCATTTGTTGTCTTATCACTTATAATGAACTACTTGATATTGTAGTACTTACATTTTTTATATCGAGTTGATTTCTATTAAACTCTCTATGATTCCCCAATCTAATTTGATTTTGACTTTGCTCATTCATTCTACTGGAATTTGGGGTTGGTTGCCATGGAGGCATTCTCCATGGGTATCGTTCTGCTAATGGTATTCCATGGTTATTTATTTGTACTGATGTACTCCTATTTGTATTATGTCCACCTAACATAATAGGTCTATTTGTAGTTATATGTGGTCCGGCATAAGCATTACTTATGGGATTATTTACTAATTGTATTACTGATGTCCCTTGATTGCTTTGACTGTTATTGTTATTCTGATAAGTGATATTGCCTTGAGCATTCTTCTCACACTATTATGCCCAATACCTATATTATTCCCTTTATTATTTTGATGGGTAATATTAGGTGTACCGTTAGATATTAATGCAGAACTAGGTGTAGAACTCTGTGTATTTTAACTTGCGATAATTACTCAACCACTTCTCAATATCATACATTATTCTTTCTCATTCAAATTCTCTAGAAACTAATCAAAAAATAAAGTCCCACTGGGCGTGTCAAATTGTTTCAAGTGTAAAATGATTTTTTGTTCATTTTATCCAAGTATTTTCACAAAGAACCACTTAGATCACTATGTGAATTCTTTTTAACTTTGACTAATAAGAGTAAACACTTTTCAATTCAAAGAATTTCTTGTTTTGCTAGATTATCACTGATCACTCAATAATTAAGATAATGTGAACTTCTATTAGTGATTTTTCATATATAATTTTGATTTTTAATATAAGTTGTAACATTTAAAGTAAAATGCAAGAAAGATAAAAGTACAAGAAAAATAAATTGCTAGAACATAAACGTGCTATAAGGATAAATGATAGAAAGATAAATATAACTCATTACCAAGGATAAAATATAAATTTGTAAAAAAAATCAACGAAGATGGTCATCAAAATTGTAAAGAACTCCATTAAAAAATTTTGTCCCATGTTCGCAGCGTTTTTTAAAATATAAGTTTTCGTACAATTTGATCATCCCTTCACACTTTTACATTATTTATAATTTACCCTTGTGTAAGCACTAGAAAAAATAAAATAAAAACGGTTATTTTTCTTATAACCGCTCTCTTATTTCCTCGAGCCACCTATTTGCCACGTAGTATTTATAATGTTCATGTCACGTAGTAAAACCATAATCGTCTTCACATATCTCTCAATTGCATAACCCCTTCTCTAGATCCTTTGTCCCTCTTTGCTTGCATAGTTTCTTAATATCTTAAAAGCTTCGATTTCTGTAAGCCTTTATATCTCGATAAATCTTTCTCGACATCTCTTTGACTCCTTTCTTGATTTTCCTTAATCTTTGACCCATAACTAATAACACTATTAGCCTTCACCAACATATTTATCGATCTTTCATCAAATTGCGATTCTTTGTTTGATTATGTTGTCTTCTCCCTTTTTTAGTTTTTCTATGAATTCTTAATCATTTATTTCTTTAATATTCTCTTGACCATCAACCTTAACCTTGGTCGTACCTTCAATTTACTCATTTTGATATGTTGTTATCTTAAGTTATACACTTTTCAAATGACCCTTCAATTATTTACTCATTCTCGATTTTCAAGTATCATCGATTCCCTCACTTTCCCATCTCGATTTTCTTCTTTCATTATCATTTCCCATTTTGAAAACTTCAATATTTTCCCCAACTATTTCTTTCTCTGTGTTTGTAAATTTATGTAACCATAACATTATTACATTTAGTTAATGTTACTTATAAATTTACAAATGGATTGAAAGAATTTGTTTAAATGAATACTAAAGTTATGAATATAAATCAAGAATGAAAATGTTAATAAAGAAAGAATTTGGAGAATTAAAAAGTTGAAATAATATGATGGGAAGGCGACAATAGAAAGAAAAAGGAGGACAATGAACAATTGGAAACGAGTTTTAAAATGGAAAGAGAAAGGTAAAATTAGAAGATAGAGTTTTAAAATTGAACGCATACCAAGGAGAGAATATAGAGAAACGTAAAATAGTTATAACTTCACGATGTTATAAGAATGGTTACAAATGCTAAATAGGACAATGAAACTACTTAAAAAAGAGAAAAATTATTAATAAGGAAGGAAATTATTTTTATTTTATTCTATTTTAGCAGTTACGAGGGATAATAATATAAATAAGGATAAATAAGTAAAAAAAGAGAAATGATGAAAAAAAAAGAAAAATATTTCAATAGAATTTTTTACAATTTGAGTCATCATTTTATTAATTTCCTGGACTATCTTCTCATTTATTCTTGATAATTTAATTTTTCAACGCTTAATATTTTCTACAATTTACACTTCTTATCATTTATATTTTCAGAAGTTTACTTTTTTTTTTTTATAATTTACCTTTTTGCATTTTAAATTTCAATTCTTTCTTATTTTCAGTTATTTTAATGAATTTTTGTTAAATTATTAAGTAATGACTGGAGTAATTTTAAAAATCCAAGGAAAAGAAAATTTTATAAACATCTTCATCAAATTAATATATAAAATACACATAACAACAACAAACATAGACTAAATTGAAACATATACGCAATCAAGTTCTTATTTATTACATGTCTCTCAACATGAACTACAAACTGGAAGAAAAACACTCATTATTCAGCCAAAGCAAGCGAATTCTAAAGCAAAAATACAGATATGATAGCACCATGGTTTGGCACATCTTTCGATATCCATATTAGGTCTTGGTCAGCAATTACGAGAATAAGGTGTGCATTGTGCTCGTGGGGGTTTCGCTGGCACTGGAAAGCAACTTCTGTAAGACTTACTGGGATCACATTTAATAGCAGGTTTATTAGGGTTTCCTGTCTGAAACGACCCTTCTGCAGAATAATAGCAGCGTATATAATAATTAATCACAGTATTCTACAGAAGTAATTTTAGATAAATTTGTACAAGATGCCTTATTTTGATCCAAACAAACGTAATATAGATGCTGGGAAACAAGATTATTTTGAACGTGCGTTTGAGAATTCAGCACATATAGAGAAGTTAGTGAGTGTTATTACCCTTGAGTTGTCGAGCCAGAGTTGAAGTGGGAAGGACGAAAACAGAGGCAAAGAGTAAGAATGCAATGAGAATAGCCTTCATGGTTGGGAATTTAATAGTAATGCTTGGTAGAGAGTATTCAGTTTTCTCTTGGCATGTATAAAATGATGCCTGTTATCATGTATTTATAGTCTCAAATCCAGTGAAGTAAGTGGAGAGAGAAAATGTTTATTTGTCACATCTTCATGGAAATTTAAACACAGAATCTTGGGCATTTCCTGGAAAAAATACATGTTAGGCGATAATGAGGGAAGAAACACATCGTATGCCAATCATTTTCAACTTAAAAAATGTTAATAAATTTTTGAGTTCTTTTACATATATTTTTATTAAACTTTATTAATTTTATGAGACTTAAATTTATATTTAAACTCTAATAATCTACAAATAGATTACATCTCAATTAAATAAAAATAATAATATCATTTTTAATTAAAAATTTGTAAATATTCGTATAGTATACCATTAAAATCTTTTATTTGATTTTTATATATTATTAATTAAGTTACTAAGTTTTTAATCATTAAGTGTATTAGTTTAAGTATTATTCAATAGCATATGAAAAAACAACTCAATCGCGTATTGCTCAAATTCATTGAGGAAAAATTTTGTAACATGACAATTCTGATGATACTAACTTATTATTATTAATCATTATTTTTTAAGAAATCAAATTTTCCTATAATTTATATATATATATATATATATATATATATATATATATTTGATCAATTTATAATTATATTATCTCATTTAAAAAGAAGAGTGTTGATATATCATAATTATATTATGATCGGAATATTATTTATTTTAGAATTTATCTTTCTAATTTTATATTTTAAAAAACGAGTTAATATATATATATAAATTTTTCATAGTCTCATCGTAGGTAGAAATACCAAAATTTGCTTGTTGTTTTGAAGTGGTGGAATTTTATATGCATTTTTGGGAAGAAAATAAATTTGAATAAGAGTATGAAAATGACGTATATATTTGTAGTCAAGTGAAAAAGACAAAGGCGAAGACTTAGAAGACTTAAAATGACAGGGCTGCAGAAAAGAAATAGAACAGTATTGAAATTTTCTACTACTTGACTCGGTCTTCAACTCACTTACGTGATAAACTAGTTTATTTCACTTGCCTTTCAACACGAACATCGTTTGTTTTTTTGTTTTTTTTTTCCTTTTTAAAAAATACATTCTATTTGACGAAGTCTAAAACAATTTTTTATGAGAGACTAAGACTAGATCATATCAAGTGATGTGAATGAATAAAGCATTATTGGAAGATAAAAAAAATGAACGATGATAAATGGAAAACGGGATAGAGGCTTTTAGGGTATTTCCTAGAACGTATGGAAAAAATTCACTAAGAAAAAAAAATCGTTTGCAGAAAACTGTAAAATTATTGTTGGTCTCCCTTAATAAATTATAAGTGTTAGAACCTTAAAAACTTAATGTATTATAAAATATCTCAAAAACGGTGATCAATTGTTTTTTTTTAATTGCTTTTTAGATGATATAAATTATTTATGGATATTTGGTTATATAGAGTCTTATGGCAAAACTAATGTCTAATTGAGTGTATGTTTAGGCATATGTTTTATCTGACTTAATATATGTTTATGCATACCTTAAACTTCGAATTGTTATATATAATGAATAAATTTTTATTTCATTTTATTCTAAGTAATTTATGAGATATTGTATTTGATTAAAGTGGTCACCTTATATATATATTATAATAATATTTTTTAAGCATTTTTTCATTCTAAATTTCTCTAATATCTTATTAATATATGATTTTTTAGATTTGATCTAACAATCCTATCATGATAGTAATATTATTAGTAACAAATGGAATATCATTAATATAGAAGGCTAAAATCACATAATTGTTCTCATTAACCTTTATGTAGAAACATTAACCTTTATCTAGATGCTTGTTTTAGTATGATATAAATGTAAGCAAGGTGTTGGACAATTAAAGTAACAAGTGCAGAATTTTAGACAAGTTAAAGGAAATAAATGTAAGAAAAATTTTGACTGATTAAAATAGTTGTTTATTTAAATGTGAATGTATGTTTCCTTAAACTAGGAGGGAAAGGTGAGGTGAGAGGAAGAAAAACAAGAAATAAGTATAACAAGGGTTGACCTTAATAGAGGAAATTGATGTGAGAAGTAGGAAAGAAAGAAGGAAAGAAAAATGGAGGCAGAGAAGGTGGTGGTGATTACACACAATCAAAGGAGGAAACCACCCTAAACAAGTGAGATTAACCAAAATTCAAGATAAAACTCAGAGAAATTGGAGCAGTGCTCACACAAAATTCTCATTCACTTCATTTTTACATGATGGGAAGCATTTAATTTATAGATCGAGGGAATGAAAAATACGGATTACATAGAAAATGCAACGTTGAAATAATATATGATAATGAGGTTGAGGATTTGGTATACATACTCAAGAGTTACAACAAGCATTAACAAAGCTCCATTACTTAGAAGCCTACAAATTAAAACCAAACTTTTTAATCAACCAAGACAGCTGAGAGAGACACAGCAACCAAATAGAGAAGAAAATCAAAGCCAACAGAGTGCATTGTCTGGTCTTAGCATATCCAGCTCAAGGTCATATCAACCCCATGCTTCAATTCTCCAAGCTTCTGCAACATGAAGGTGTAAGAGTAACATTTGTGACCACCCTTTTCTACTCCAAGAACATGCAGAAACTGCCAACTGGAATTTCCCTTGACACCATTTCGGACGGTTATGACAGTGGTAGGATTGGAGAAGCAAAGAGCTTAAGGGTCTACTTGGATTTCTTTTGGAAAGTTGGGCCAAAGACTCTTGATGAGCTTCTTGAGAAGCTGGCTAGATCAGGCTACCCTATTGATTGTCTTATTTGTGATTCATTCATGCCTTGGGCTATGGAAGTTGCAAGGAGTTTCGGGATTGTTGGGGTACTTTTTCTCACCCAAAATATGGTTGTGAATAGTATATACTATCATGTCCATTTGGGAAAGTTGCAAGCTCCCCTAACAGAAAATGAGATTTCTCTTCCTGCTCAGCCCCCACTTCAACTTGGGGACATGCCTTCTTTCTTCTTTAACTATGTTGAAGATCCTGCTTTTCTTGATTTCTTAGTAGGTCAGTTTTCTAACATTGACAAAGCTGATTGGATACTCCGATATATTTTGTACGTCGTCATTTAACGCTCGGTTATAAGTTAAACGACGTAGAAATTACTTTCCACATCGGTTCCCAAATGAACCGACGTTGAAAGTTGAATATTAAACACATTCTACGTCGATTTTTAATCAACCAACGTAAAAAGTACTTTCCACGCCGATTCATCCCATATGAACCGACGTGGAAATTGAATATTAAACACATTCTACGTCGATTTTTAATCAACCAACGTAAAAGTACTTTCCACGTCGATTCATCCCATATGAACCGACGTGGAAAGTTTTTTTATTTTTCATTTTTTTCACTTATTGACACCGACGTGGAAAATCTTTTTTTTTCACCCAAAAATTCACTTAAATTTAAAATTTGTCACCTGGCAGGATTTGAACTCGTAATTTTAGAATTGAAAATTATTACTCTAACCACTAAACTATTATAATTTTTTAATAATAACTTTCAAATAAATTATATTTATATACAAATAAATATATATCTATGTAAATATATATTTATTTGTATATATGTTCTGAAAGTATTTTTATTTTTTTTCAACTAAAAATTCACTTAAGTTAATGAATTGTGACTCGACAAAGATTTGAACCCGAGTATTTTAGAGTTGAAAGTTAATATCTCAACCACTAAACTACTACAATTTTTTGATAATAACTTACAAATAAATTATATTGGTATTTTTCGATTGAGGGTGGAAGTGAGATTGACTCTTGCTTGAGTGTGAAAATATGTTAAAGCTCACGGAAATTCACTCACTCAAGCCTCACTTGAGCGAAAATTAGAATTTTTCGCTTGAGAAGCTGAATGACGCGTTTCCCAAATTATTTTATATCATTATATAAATAAAATTATAAAGATTATATTCTATCATTAAATTACAAACTCATATAAAGATACCTGCTCACAAATTTAGCATCAAATTTTGAAAATCCACTCGACACACACTTTCACTTTCGAGTGTGCTCCTCACATCCAACATATAAATATATAACTATATAAATATATCAAAATATATAAATATATTTGTATTTATATATTTATATATTTACACGGATATATTTATTTGTATATAAATATAATTTATTTGTAAGTTATTATCGTAAAATTCTAGTAGTTTAGTGGTTGGAGTATCGCTCTCCAACTCTAGGTGACTCGAGTTTGAATCTCGTCAATGATAATTATCTTAAAAAATTAATAAACTTCTAAAAATTGTAAATAAAAAAATTATTGATTGTGATACAAACACATAACAGCTACTTTTGCTAACCCAGTAGAACCAAATTAGTAGCATGCAAAAGAAAAATTCATTATGAACGTCTTTGATATCATTATGAACATATGCATAACTTATCATAAATGTGTTAGACCACCTGATATTACTTGTTTTCCGTGCAGGTAATAGAATGGACGATGAAGATTTGGCCCAAATTTAGGACAATATGACCATGTATTCCATATATTTTCATAGACAAGCATACCAAAGATGAGGAAGACTATGGTGTTGAACAAGTCAGAGATGAAGAATGCATCAAATGGTTAGATGATAAGCCAAAAGAGGTGGTTGTTTATGTTTCTTTTGGGAGTATGGCAGTACTTGAAGAGGAACAAATAGAGGAATTAGCTTATGGTTTAAGAGAAAGTGGAAGTTACTTCTTGTGGGTGGTTAGAGAATCTGAAGAGACCAAGCTCCCTAAAGGCTTTGAAAAGAAGTCAGAGAAGGGCTTGGTAGTGCCATGGTGCTCTCAGCTAAAAGTTTTAGCACATGAAGCTGTGGGGTGCTTTGTAACACATTGTGGTTGGAACTCTACATTAGAAGCTTTGTGCTTGGGAGTTCCAATGGTTGCAATGCCACAAGAGGCAGACCAAAGCACCAATGCTAAGCATATTGAAGATGTTTGGAAGGTGGGAACCAAAGCTTCAGTTGATGGAAAACATGTGAGACGACAAGTGTTAGTATTGTATAAGGGAAGTAATGGACAGTGACAGGGGCAAAGAGATGAAGAGAAATGCCATGCAGTGGAAGACTGTGGCGGCAAATGCAGTTGGTGAGGGTGGAAGTTCGCATAGAAACATTACTGAATTTGTGAATACTTTGTTCCATATGCAATAATTACTTCTTAATCCTTGTTTGTTGGTGACAGAATTTTAGGAAAGTTATAAATATTATCAATAAAGTTATGGATTTTAACACGAGAAGTTAGTAAAAAAAAAAAAAACTGTAAAATGAGTCAGGATTTTTTTTAGAATTATATTTTTCACTTATAAAATTAGTTTTAATTTATAAAAAATATGTTTCACTTTTTACCACGTTTTTTTTTTTGAAGTATTTATACATAAGTTTTCCAAAGAAACTCCATGTAACATACTTAGCTTGTACAAAAAATAATAACCACTGATATTAGTGACAAAATCATGAATGGTTTGTTTCTTTCGTAGGCAAGAAAGGGAGAAGAAAATAGTAACCCAATCAATGAAAACCAAAATAAAACAATATTCCATACTATTACTTTTTTTATTTTTTCAAAACAAAAGTTTATTAAAATCCTACAAAAAAAAACAGCAATATTTCAAGAAAAGTTAAATAGTCAAATTTATTCCATAAAACTGAATTTTCACACTTGCAATCTGTTGCTGATTTCTCACTCTTAATTTCTTGTTGGTTTCATCATGGTCTGTCACAGCCATGGCGGTTCTCTACATGGAAGCAGTCGTCGGTATTTCTTTTCTACTTTCTCATCGCCCGTGATGTATTTCTTTTCCCATTATTTTCTCTTTATTTTATTCCGCACGCAAATGATGAAAATTTCTCACACAAATGATCTTTGGTTTCTCATAACTTCGCTAGTCTCTGAGCTTTGGGTTCATGATGAAAGTTGATCCCTGTATTGGATTTTCTTAATGCATTAATTGAAAGTGTTGTGGTTATTCATGCGATGAGTTTGGGTCTCATACCCCTATTTTACTTGCACCAGCATTGCCATTGAACACATTCATTTGTGTGTTTTTCTAGTTAATTGGGTTTCTCATAGCTTATGAGTTCTAGGTTCATCGTGATGAAGTGTTAATAAATCGACTGTCCATGATTAAATTGGGGGAAAGGAAGAGAAAAAGAGAAAAGAACAACTAATAGAAGATTTGGACCAATTAATAAAAAAAGCATCATATCTATCTGTTACACTTTATGAAGTGACGCACCTTAGCCTTCCTCCTCCAAGTTACCTATGACTCCCATCTGTTTGGCAGTTTCTGAATAAACAATAACAACACAGGCTCATTTATCTTACTTTTGGGTGCGGTTAGAAGCTGGGAATGACTTCACAACTTGACCATGGGGATGGTTCTATTGATGATAGTGCATCAACCCCAATCCACTTTTTCAGGATCATGCTTCCTCACAACCTTCTACAAGGAACTTTAGTGAGTACATATGATTCTTTTTAGAAGATCACATCCTCTATTTTAGCATACATGCTACTAGTGTCAATGCTACATTATTGACATTCATGCAAATATTTAGTACAAAATTGTCAAATGGATATATATTGATGCATATAGCCAAAACCAGTAAAGTTTAGCACATACTTTATGAGTTGTAGAATAGTTTAGCACATAAATTATGAGTTATGTTTGTTAATCTGCATCTACAGAGGCTTCCGACAAGGTTTGTGAGCAAATATGGAAAACACTTATCCAACACAGTACATCTTAAGCTTCCAAATGGTGCAGAATGGAAAGTAAATTTGGAGAAGCGTGATGGTAGTGTTTGGTTTCAACAAGGTTGGAAAGAGTTTGCAGAGTATCACTCGCTAGCCTATGGTCACCTGTTAGTTTTCAGATTCAATCTGACATCCCATTTTCATGTTTCCATCTGTAATAAGAGTTGCATGGAAATAGACTACCCTATCAACAAAGCAAATCACAAAAGGACCAGAATTAATAGTGAAGACATTCAACCACCTAAGACACAGAAAACAACTCAAAATAAGAAAAAGTGTAATTCCAATTTCCAGGACACTGCCTTTGATAAAAAAGCAAGAGACCACAAAGGCATGATTCTAGATTTCTAATGAATTCATGTATGTGTGTGCTACAAAGAATTTAGTTCTTTTAATGTGTAATAATTTCCCCCTCTTTTAGGTAGATTGAAGAATCCAAATGAAGGGAAGAGAAACATGGAAGCGGTTGGGAATACTTCCTTTACTGTTATAATGAAATCACACCACTTCACTCTCGGACAAATGGTATGTTCTCAAACTAAGCATTCATACGAGAAAACTCTTTTATCCAATCATCACAATAAGTGGTAAGTTTTTTATGTAATACTACATGCGATGCAGTATATATTTGTTCAGAATGTAGAATTAAAATCTTAATGAAGTTAAAAAATGCATATGATGCAGTATGTGCCACATGCCCCAATAAAAAGCTGCATCAAAAGTGGTGAACAATTTGTTACGCTTCTGGTTGGAGACAGATCATGGAGGGTTAAATTGAGAAATTATCGAAGTAAATCAGTCAGTTACTTCACTACAAATTGGTCAGCTTTTGCAAGGGAAAACAATTTAAAAAAAGGAGATGCCTGCTTGTTCCAACTCCTACACTGTAGTGACAACATGGTGATGAAGGTTTCTATTTCTAGAAAAATGTCCATCAGCTAATGCAGTTCAGTTTTATTTTTATTCTGGAAGACACTTGTTAAATGAAGACAGTTTTAACCATAAAAACATAAAACAAAACCATAACATGAAAAGAGAGGAAGAGGTAAGGGAAACAAAGCTATTTTTGTATTTGCTACTTCATCATGTTGTATTTCACTTATTGAACCATATTTAAGGACAAATACATGAGAAATGATAGCCCATCATTATAGGCATACTTTTTGTCAACAAAATATCTTGTACCCACTATATTTAGAGTACAAATCTATCCAAAATTAGGGTAAATCCATGACTAACTAATACTACTGACACAAGCAAACTGATTGAAATAAGTAAACATAATAACAACAGTAAAAAAGAAAAGTTTTACCATGCATTCATTTAATATTCCTCCTTAAAATTTTTCTTGAAGACTCTCATCTTACTTCTTAGCTCATTAAACTTAGCACATAGAAGTGCTTTGGTTAAAGTGTCAACAATTTGCTCTTCAGACCTGCAATGCAGTAATTGAACATCTCCATTCTTCTCAACTTATCTTATAGCATGAAATTTAACATTGATATGTTTGGTTCTTCCATGTTGAACTATATTTTTAGCAATAGCTATGGTTGAATTGTTGTCACACCATAAGATAGTAGCTTTCGCCTGCATGTGATTTAAGTCTCTCAAGACTTTTCTGATCTACAGAGCTTGATTTGAAGCAGTTGCTGTAGCAATATACTCTGCTTCAGTGGAGGATTGAGCAACTACATCTTATTTTTTAAAGTTCCATGAGAGCACTCCATTGCCAAGTGAAAAAACATACTCAATTGTGCTCTTTGAATCATCAATTGAACCAGCCCAATCACTATTAAGGTAACCTTCAAGCCTTCCATCCCCTTTGCAATACCAAATACCAAAATCAATTATTCCTTTCAAATATCTCAGTACTCTTTTACCTACACCAAAGTGTGTCAAACTAGGTGAGTGCATCAACCTTGAAAGCAAACTAGCAGAGAACATCAAATATGGTCTAGTTGTAGTCAAGTAAGGAAGGCAATCAACTAGGCTTCTATATTGAGTTACATCAAGTTACATCAGCCTTCCCAACAACATCATTCTTGGACAGTTTCTTATTTATAGCAAGAGGAAATGAAACAAAATTACAACTCTCTAATTTAATTTTTTTACCAAGTCATTTGCATACTTTCTCTGTGAAAGAAATATTCCATCTTCAATGCACTTCCATTTCTCAAAAATACCTCATCACTCAAAGATCAATCATTTCAAAAACATGTAACATGCTTTTTTTTAAACTTGTCTATTTCGTCAATATCATCACTTATAACTAGCAAATCATCAACATAAAGTGACACACTAATTTTCTTGATGGAGGACCATTGGGAAGAATATTTCCATCATTTCTTCCCATTACTACAATCCTTCACATTAAGAGTTTTGATTCATACTAAAATCATTTTTCAAATAGTGAGTCAATTTTGTTGTACTAAGCTCTTGGAGCTTGTTTTATTCCATACAAGGCTTTGTGAAGCCTATGAACTTTATCTTCATGACCAGCAACAATGAAATCAACAGGCTGCTCAACATAAATTTCTTCTTCCCAACACTATTTAAGAATGTTGATTTCACATTCAAGTGAAAGATTTTCCACTCATATTGAGCTGATAAAGTGAGAATTAATCTTATTGTTTCATGCTTAGTAACAGGTCACAAATGTATCACCATAATCAACTCCATCCATTTGAGAATATCCCTTCACAACAAGTCTAGCTTTACATTTGTGAATAGAACCATCAGGATAACTTTGTTCTATAAATGTATCTTACACTAATCACATGTTTGTTATTAGGCCTTGAAATGAGTTCCTAAGTACTATTCTTTTTAATCATAGCCATCTTTTCCTTCATTGCATCATTCCACTTTGTTTGCAATGAAGCTTCTTTCTTTAAAACAAGAAGGTTCATTGATCATAAAACTTCATTTTTTCATAAGTTTCAGCCAAAGATTTAGTTTTGAGCATCAGAGAATCCGATTCAGTAATATGACTTTCATCTGTCCTTGTAACCTGTTGTTGCTCAACCTTCATACTTTTTTGAATTTGATTATTTTTCCAATACCAATATGCATTCTCATCAAATTGAACATCCAAGCTTATCACAATTTGTTTTGACTTGAGATTAGATACTCTATAACCTTTAGAGCTTGCAACATAGCCTAGGAAAATTCCCATTTCAGCTTTGTAATCCAAGTTGGATCATTTAGTTGTTCTAACATGAACATAGAAGATTGATCCAAAATTCTTTTAAATGTTTTGCAGCGGATTTTATTTCCATTCAAGCTTCAATTGTTGTTTTCTTTTGAACAATCTATTTTTTCTTTCAAAAACAACATTATGTTCAGGAGAATAACTGACTGTCAATTGATGAATAATATCCATATCTTCACTCTTGTTATCCGATCTCAACATTTTAATTTTACAATCACTTTGAGACACCACCATAGATCTAAACTTTTTAAAGACATTACAAATTTGAGTTTTGCTTGCCAAAAAATATAGCTATGTCATTCTATAGCTATGTCATTCTAGTAGAATCCTCAATTAACAAAATGAAATATTTGTTTCAAATTAGAGAAGACATACTCATAGGATAACACAAATAAGTATGAACTTATTTCCCTCCAAGCTTCAATTGGTGTTTTCTTTTGAACAATTTGTTTTTTCTTTCAAAAACTTCATTCTGTTCAGGAGTATAATTGACTATCAATTGATGAATAATATCCATATCTTCACTTTTGTTGTCCGATCTCAACATTTTAATTTTGCAGTCACTTTGAGACTCCACCATAACTCTAATCTTTTTAAAGACATTAAAAGTTTGAATTTTGTTTACTAAAAAAATACACCTGTGTCATTCTAGTAGAATACTCAATTAACAAAATGAATTATATGTTTCGACTTAGAGAAGACATACTCATGGGATAACACAAATAAGTATGAATTTATTTCTATCCAAGCTTTAATTGGTGTTTTCTTTTGAACAATCTGTTTTTCTTTTCAAAAACTCTATTCTGTTCAGGAGTATAACTGACTGTCAATTGCTGAATAATATCCATATCTTCACTCTTGTTATCTAATCTCAACATTTTAATTTTGCATTCACTTTGAGACTCCACCATAGCTCTAAACTTTTTAAAGACATTAAAAGTTTGAGTTTTGCTTGCCAAAAAATATACCTATGTCATTCTAGTATAATCATCAATTAACAAAATAAAATATTTGTTTCGACTTAGAGAAGACATACACATAAGATAACAAAAATAAGTATGAACAAGTTATAGTTTGTTCTTTCCTCGTGTGACATTTGTTGAAGAAAAAGACTTCCTACGCATCTTTCCAAGTTGACAAGCATCACATAAATCATCAATATTGTCTATCATAGGTATATCTCTCACCATATCATGAGTTTGCAAAAATTTCAATGCATCTATATTAAAATGACTATATCTTTTATGCCATAATTTAGAATTGTCATGCTTGGAAACAAGTGATTTGTTATTTTGCATGTAGTACAAGAGGAAAAGTACTCGTTGTAGTTGATTCCTTAGAACTTCCATCCATCTTATTTTTTCCATTTCAACCACTGATTGTTTTATAGTTCAACTTCTTTTGATTTGTTTGAATTGCTTCATCTTATGTCTAGCTTAAAATGTACCTTCGGTTACATCATCCATCCTCGTAGAGAATCTTTGTTCTTGAGCTTGTAATTTGCTAACCATCTCAGACATAGTTAATTTCTTGAGATCACATTATTCTTTAGTAGTAGCAACATTATTATTTAATAGTAGCAACTTTGGCTTCAAATTTTTCAATTCATCTCATATTTTCTTGGTGGTTTCCAAATGCATAATGTTAGTAAAGACCTCACCTACCAAAGTTGAATGTAGATATGAGACAACTTTCTCCTTTTTCGTAGTCTCCTTCTCATGTTACTTGATTTGAGTTATAGTATGATTAGTTCTTAATTGTGGAACTTGTTTATCTTCATCTACATACTCCCATAGGCTAAAAGACTTTAAATATTGTCTCATTTTGACAACTCCATAAAGTAAAAGACTTTAAATATTTTCTCATTTTGACAACCCATATTGTGATAATATTCCCCAAAAAATTGAGAAACAAAAAAGATGACATTAAGTCATTGATCCCTCACCCATGTTTAAACTCTACTCACAATTTTTTCCATACTCATGACCTATAAGAACACTACTCTAAATATCATTATTAAATGAAAATAGCTTTAATCATAAAAACATAAAACAAAACCATATCAAGACAAGAGAGGTTAGAGAAAACAAAACAATTTTCGCATTTGCTAATTCATCATGTTGTATTTCACTTATTAAACCATATTTAAGGATAAATATATGAGAAATGATATCCTATCATTATATGCATATTTGTTGTCAACAAAATATTTTATACCCACATTCATTTAACAACATTATAAGCTTTTGTTTCATAGAATTTTCTTACATTCTCTATGAAGATGAATATTTATTTTCATTTTTGATATATTTACAGCTCTTATAAAAAAAAAAAAAAAAGAGAGAGATGCTTCTGGGTAAGCATAAGTTTTCTAGAAGATCTCACGTATATAATTTATTAATTAATTTACATATCTTAACAAGAATATAATATTAGTATTTGTTCAGAAAAGTAGATAGAAAATAAAGGAAAAGAAGAGATACGAGATTAGAGGAAATAAAAATTGTTTGAATTATAAGAAATAAAAGACAAATGAGAAGAAAGTATTATTTTTATATTATTATTATATTTATTTATTATAATTAAAAATATTTAAAATTGAAGAAAAAATAATATAATTGATTAAGATATTTTTCAGATACTATATAATTAATTGTGTTATATAATTGATTTTCTAGACTTTTAGTGTATGTTTTTTCACTTTTTGCTGTGTGGAAGTCCAAAATTGTGCACTCTTTACTCTTAATTATTTGTTTGATTTATTTTCATTCGTATTTTTATGTCAATATTTTAATCTCTCGTGAATTCAAACTCCCAATTTTTTTTATATTTACTTCATTCACAAAATAACTAGAATATTATAACATATATAATAAATAAGTTTGTGTTTGTTTTTTTATCCTTTTAATTAAATAAAGTTAGTGGATTGTAGAGATAAGTTCTTAAATGTTTGAAGTTACTTCAAGCAAGTATTCTCTTCCATTAGATGACATGCCACTGAGATGCCCTTACAGCTGTATTTAAATTGGAAAAAGTAAAAATATATTTTTCGTTTTTTACATATAATTTACACTATTAATCACTTATTTTATTGTTTTATTATTCTTCCCATATTAATATTGATTTAAACATTGTAGGTAGGCATATGAATATCATTATCTTTGTTTATTTTTGTTTGATATTACCATTCTTAAAAAAGGAATTGCAGACAAAACCTTCACCTCTCCGACGTGCTTCTCCAATACGAGAAGTAACATGATCCAACAAAATAAGCGCACCGAGACCCTTGACACAGTGCTACATGATCACAAGTAACCAATTAACTCACCATAAAGGAAAAAATTCTTATAACAGTAGAGCAGGATATCACTACTCCAATAAAAACCTAATTTACAATGTATATAACATCTATTTGTAAAAGAATCTATATTAAAATTCTAGAAAAAATTGATATTGAATACTTTAAAAAGTGTTTTTTTATAATCGGTGAACAAAGTTAATTCTTATTTTTTTAAAATATTTGTTATTTTGTAACATTTCCAAACTGTAAATAAAGACCAATCTAAAAACAAATATAAAAATTGTCAAATAAATATAAAATAATCTTAAATAATTATAAAACAATCTCAAATAATATACAATTTTAAAATTTTTATTAATTAACAAATAATATTTAAAAAATAATTATAATAATATAGAATTTTAAATTTTTTATTAATTAATAAATAAATATTTAAAGAATAATTACAACAATCTAACCACACCATAAAAAAAACAACACAAGAAAGGAAAGAGCATGGTGGAAGATGAAACCATGATAGATCCTAAGACATAAAAAACGAGGACAAAAAAAAAAAAGAGGATGACACATGGTCGTGAAGGATGCGACAGATGCATAAAGACATAACAAAAATGTAAGAATACGACGAAAACCAATACGAAGATAGTGAGAATGTGACAAATTACGTATTGCATTTAAATTTAAAGAGAGTTAAATTAATTTTATAATTGTGTGTATAGGGTTTAGGATTTACGCGTAATATTTTCTTATCTTAATAAATTTTTAAGAAAGTTCACGGTGTTGCATTTTAATTTTGAAAAATTAATTTTAAAATTTTGAGTTATTATTTCTATCTTTTATTTTTTTTTCTTCGACAAATTCATAGTATCAAAATTACATATAAAACCTGATATTAAGTTATTTTGAATATAGTTTTGAAAGATTTAATTTTTAATTTTAGATTTTTTTGAACTAATTCATCCAATTTGATTACTGTTTCGCAACCAAAACCCTTAACTACCGAGGGAGATATTACCCACGGACTCTTCTTTTTACTTCATTATATTTTGAGAAAATAGCAAATACTATTAATCTATCAAGAGTAATCAACGTCTCTCGTTAATGGATTTGGAATTTTGAAATATATAGTACTAAAATAATTTGTATTGATTAATGTAACGAGCATGGCATGTATGCATATATGCAGATAAAGTACAAAATCATATTTCCCATATCTTGCAAAGAATTTCATCAAGAATGAATATTTTAAAATATTTCAAAAATTAATGTTTAGAATAAATTGCATTATATATTTTGTGAAATTAATTATTAATAATCTTTAATTAAAAAGAATGGATTTGATATAAAAAAAAACAAATATCTATTTTTGTAGAAAAATTTCTAATTGAAAATTGAAATTAAAATTTATAATAATCATCATCTACCAAAAAACAAAAGATACTGATATAAAATGTCCATTTAACTTATATTTAAAAAAACAACTAACAATTGAAAATTTTATTTTTAAAAAATAAACAAGTGGTACAATCACAAAATTTACTGCAAAATATTGTAAGAGTGGTATTTTTTTGTGTGTTAAAATTATGAGTAAATTGTAGTCTATACAAATGATATTTTTTTTTAAATTACATTTTTTTAAGCACACTTTTATAAATCAAAATGATAGAGGATAACCACACACCTTTTTTAATTTAGATTCCCAGCATTTTTTTATCTTTAATCATGATTGCCTCTATCTAAGCTATAGAGAGCAAAAATAAATAAATCCAGAACAAAGGAATCCACTTAAATATTGATCATAGAATAAAATGTCCTGAAATTTTCTGGCTGATTGATCCAAATATCCATTTCATTTTAATTTCACAGAACCCATTCCCCTAACATCGTTGCAATGTTCTGCAAATACATACACGTGAACCTTGAGGTTATATGTAAAACTTGGCTGCCAACAACAAAAATCAACTAATCAAATGGGTGTAATCCCTTAAAGAATCATATAAACATTGTACCAATTATTGTCCTTTGAATGAATAACATGTTCATGGACTACTAAATTCATATTTATTGCTTTTAAAGATTCATGTTACCTTGCATTCTTCCCAGCCATTATTGTATCAATATCTGCACGATACCCTGCTAGATGGACCAGATCTGCACAGAGAAAATAGCAGCACAAGAATGTTATGCAAAACATGAATGTAGTAAACAGCGGACATCCACCAATTATAACTAGCAATCTGAGTCAACAAAACTGTTTTAGAAAAATTCCATAAACATTCAATTTCAAACCACGAAATCTTCTAAAAACAAAAAGAAACAATTGGGTAACTCAGACAGCAACTAAACTTAATCAATCAAGTAGGAGATTACAGTTCTCACAATCAACCACACAGATATGAGAAGCAACCAAATACCTCATTAAGTCCCAAAAACTCAACCAATCCAAAGCTACTCAGTGATGGTGGAAAATGCATGGCAGAGAGAGTGGCATAGAAATTCAATGACAGAGGAGAGCAGCAATAGTGATGCATTCTTCAACCTGACGATGGCAACCACAGATTCATCAAGTGCCACTCTCATGTCTCAAGGTTCACCAGATTCCATTGTGGTGAGACTGGAGGCGAGTTGTAAATTGTACAGGTAATTTCCTCCAAGTAACTAACACAACAACCTCCGATCAAGCTGGAAAGATTGATGCACTTGGATCAACATCAAAATAAACTCTTTTAGAGCCTTCTTCAAAAGTTACAAGTTGTTATGTAAATTTACCAAATGCATTTCTTGAATAATAACAACAATTAATCTAGTAGAGAAGTTGTTATGAGCTGTATCCAAGCAAGCTCAAAGACCAGCTATGTAGAAAGCAAAGATCTGCCAATTATGACGCCTATTCAAAAGTGCCAACCATTAGTACGCCAATAATTTCTCGCATTTTCAAGGGAACGGGCATGTTTGATCTTCAAAAACAGCTTGTAAGCCGTCTCTGTTTTCTTTGTAGCAAGCAGCCTGTTGCTCAGTTTACTATATACTAGCCTGCTTGGGCAAAACCCCTTGCCCAAAGCCTCCTCCATAACAAGAACAGCATTTTCCAGCTGTCCAACATTGCAAAGACCACTAATGATGAACTCATAAACATCCAAATCTGAACTATACCCACATTCTTGCATCTCCTCCCATATTTTCAACAATGTTCCACACTTTCCAACCTTAGAGAGCCGCATAAGCAGTATCTTATAAGCTTCCACCGATATCATACACCCTAATTTTCTTGCCTTCTTGTATATCATCAAAGCAGCATACGGTGGACCATAGCTACACAATCGTTTGATGAAGGCTGTTATGGTACCAATAGAAGGTACAACACCTCGCTTCAACATCTCATCGAACATCTCAAGTGCATCAGCCACTTTCCACACTCTGAGAAACGCACTAATTATTCTGACAAACGTATTAAGATCAGGTTCACAGTTATCACTCAACATCCTATTATAATACTTCATACACTCCTCAAAATCCCCAACAGACAGAAAATTGAAAATCATTGCATTATAAGCAGAAGTATCTGGCTGGCAATTCTTCCCCCTCATACCACAGAAAACCTCAACAGCCTCATCCATTCTACCTGCCCTCCCCAAGCTCTCCATAAGGAATCCGAATGTCCTACAATCGGGTAGAACCCCATCAGTCTCCATTTCCCTCATAATCCTCTCAACCTCACCCACCTTACCAATCTTAGACCACCCCCCAGCAACCACATTGTATGTATCAACATCAAAACAAACCTTCCCCTTCATCGAATTCAAAACAGAATTGGCAGCACCAACATGAGACCGACGACATAAAAACGACAAAAGCACATTCAAAGCCTCAGTGTCACGCCGAAGCCCGAGATCATTCAAATTCCCAAAGACCTGAATTGCCCGAGACACATGACCAGCCCTAACAAAACTATCAATAACAATAGACAACATCAACAAATCACCATCAATGCCACGTTGCCTCATGTCACACAACACACCCATCATAAAATCAAAAAACTTTCTTCTTCCTAGTGCCTTAACAATCACATGGTAACTACCAACAACATTGGGAACCCCAGCCTGTTTAACCGCCCAGTTGAAAAACGTGACCATGGATTCACCACTGAGGTTCCCATAATTGAGCACATTACCGAGAACGTTAACGTCCACGTCAGCACCAACGTTGGACAAAGCAGTTTCGATTGAAGCCTTGCCCTTTAGCTTCTGGAGGAAGACTCCGCGCAGTTTATCTTCGGGGGACAAAAAAGCGTCCACGGGTTTCGCGTCTGGGGGCGGCGGTTCGAGGGGTTTCGAAACGGGGTTTTGAGATTCGGAAGCGGGAATGGGGAAAAGGTGGGAGATTTGGTCGAGTACGAGGCGTTCGTCGAGGTGAGGATGGTGATGGTGGGGAGAAGAGGGTGGCGCGTGGAGAGATGAGAGTGGGAAACGGTGCGTGGAGGTGGGAGGGTGGTGGTGGGCGTTGGCGAAGCGCGCGAGAAAGCGGAAAGATCGAAACGACATTGGGGGTAGGTGAGGATCACGGCGGTGAAAGTATGTTTAATCTTTAATAAAAAGTTTATCTCATGAAAATATATCACTTGTTTTTTTACTAGTTTCTAAAAATACCAGAATTCAAAATTAGTTCTTAAAAATAAGATTTGTTAGTGGTAAATAAAGTTAACTAATTTCATTGATACGGCATGTTATAATCTCCTGTTGTCTTTTTTTACTTTGTTGGAATATATAAAATCAAAACGATGTATAATTAAAATTAATATTTAAATAATTTTTAAATATTAATGGTATGAAGTTTTAATTCATGGTATCTTTAGTGTCTAAATAAGTTAAGAGAATAGAGTATATATAAATTATTTCTGGTTTTAACTTTTAAATAATATCAAATTCATGTAACGAAATATTTTTTTCCTAACAAATGGTAGAATATATTTATTTTTTCTTTCAATTAGTTTACTAAAATGGTATACTTTAGGTCAAATATTACAAAAATAATATAAATTTTACATAAATGGACAAATGTTACTAAAGAGATTCTAATTCTAATAAGAAACTTCTATCACATAGAGTTTTTTTTCTTGTTTTGTGAACGACTTTTGGTATTATTATTTTTTAAAATTTTAAGGTTGTGTTACGTGGTACAATATTTTCTTTTTAAAAATTATGTTAGATGATACAATGTTTTATATTTTATATTTTTTAATTATTCATAGGAAGATATGTTACCTATCCTGACTTGTATTTTTTTCTTTTTACCTTTTAATTTAATTATAAAATAATATAAGTAAAATGAATAGTTGAAAAATATAATATATTAATATTACAAAATATTTACATATTACAAAATAATATTAAGCTAAATTAAAAAAATAATTTAGTGTTGGTAGTCTATTTCACAAAATTATCTTTTTCTATTTCGTTTAGGTCTTTCATTTTGTTGGGGGACATGTATCTCTTGTGCATCTATATCATACTATTGTCATGTTTATCTTTTTTAGTTAGATTCTGATGTATAAGCATTGTTAACTGATAATAATCTATAGATTTAACTTGATTATATGTTAACGATGGTGTCATATAAGAGGTGGAAAAAAAATTTGATTTAGAAGACATCATATTACACATGTAAGGAACATGTCCTTAAAAATTACTTTCCCCATATATATTTTGAAGATAATCCACATAACCTTAGAATAGAACATGCTAAAAATAAGATTTACCATCTTGTTTTTCTTCACTCCTCTCTAAGCTTTCTCCTCTTTTGTGTATGGGGTGAGCTTCTTTGCACACCCAGAGCTTGTGGTACATGACTCTTAGCTCTACCCTTAGCATGTTGGCAACAATCCATTCGAGGTCTATATTACTCTCAAGAAAGTTAGCAACAAGGTTATGTTCACTAATAATGAGGGAGAATCCAATCTTCGTATCTTAGCCTTGTTGCGCTAGTTGAAATGCGATATTCTCTTCTTTTAGTTGGATCCGACAATCATCATTTATATATGGATCAAGATTTGTCACAATCGTTAGGTTATCCTTCTTTCTTTGCATGTGTCACGATGCTTGTCGTCATCTTGGCACTTGCAGCATAGCACTCGCGAGTTTATATCTTGTTCACATGCAACATTATTATCTCTCTGGTTAAGGATGAAAACTTCATTACTAGTTGCAGGGTGAATACTATCACTCCTATAACATTAAGGGACAGTCTTCCAAGGAGGATATTATAAGGAACATTAGTGTCTACAATGAGGTATTGGACTTTAACTAGCTTGTATCTAGTGTTACCTTCTTCGAATTTTGTAAAGAGCTCAATATATCCTTTTGTATCCAGTCTTTCTCTTGAGAACCCTACGATTTGGTCATTGTAAGGTTGGATTGCATCTTTTGCTAGTACAAGACATTCTTGGTCTACCAAAGTCTTTATCGTAACAAAGTTTGCAACTTCCATAGTAATTACCATGGGGTCGTCTTGGCAAGAATCGATAGCTTGAAAGCCATCATTTATGAACGCTATTGATGATATCTTTCTTCTTTGTCCAACAACAACAATATTAACTGACTAAACTACTTTTAGAAGCCTTTTTCTTATTATGATGGTCAAACCCATGCTGACAAACCCTCCGACAATCATGTTAATTACCCTCTCAGATGTTGTTTCTTTTACCCCTAACTCATTCGTGTCTTTCAGCTGATAATCTTGATTGTTTTTTGTTCCTATTGGTTGACATTCTTTCCTCAAAGAGTGTCTCATTTGTTGATTGCCACATTTCTTCACAAATTTATGCAAGTGTCTGACTTGTATTAATTATTCTATTTTGTCTTTCAACACTAAACACTCGTCAGTGGTATGCCCATAATTGTAATGATACCTATAGTGCTTGATGTGATCAGGGGAAGTAGGTACCTTTCTTGGTGTGGGACGTGAGGGCTTCTTCTAGCACCCTTGCATGGTTTACATTCATGGTTTACATTCATGGTATATATTGTGTGAATCATGGGCTACGGGATTCTCTTAGTCTCACCTACATGAGTCATTTTCCTTTTTCTCTCTCTGCATTCTTTCTTTTTGGGATGATCTCAACACACACTTGATTTCTAAATTCTTTCAACTCTTCTAATTACATGAGTTTTGCAGCTCGACTCCTTAACTTGTCTAGGTCTATGGTCAGTTTCTTACATAGATTATTTGAGAAGGACTTGGGCGTAACCCTGGTACCATGTGGTGAATGGTCACCTTGGTGTTGAGGTTTCTAATACTTAACACAACTTTAGCAAACCTATCCATGAAGGCTTGTAATGATTCTCCCTTATCTTACTAATAATACTATTGATATGAGGTGGTGAAACCGACTTGATGCAAATTGTGTGCCAAATTTTATCACTAGTGTCGAAACAATCAATGGTGTTTGGGGGGAACCTTAGGAACTAGCTTAACGTTACTTCTTTAAGTGAGGTTGGAAAAACTCAACATAAAATAACATCCTCTATGGTGGACAAACTAACTTATGTTACATAGATGTCAATATGTTCGTCTGCATCAGTTGATCCATCATATCATTCTAGATTCAAGTTCTTCTAGGTTGATAGCAAAGGGGTTTTCATGATCTCATCCATGAATGAGTGTTTACAATGTCCCCCAAATAGTGAAAATACGTGCATGGATGTATAAGAGATCATTCATGGGTTGCTACCGACCTCGAATGCGCTAACAAGGGTAATGTGGGATTGCTCCTAGTTACCTTCAGTTCGAACTATTTCCAACGTGTGGTGGAAGGTGCCTACTTGTTCATTCAACTTTTGTCGAATGTGAGCATTTTCGTGCTTAAGAGCCTCTATTTCTTTGACACTTTTCTTAAAGTTCTCTAATTCTCTTCTTAGTTCGACAATAAACATTAACTCTTTCATATGATTTTTTCTCTAGGTGATGAGGTCTTTCGGTGCTTATCATGTTCCTTGCAATTATGTTTAGTTTTCAAATAGTCATTATCAGCCTTACGATGGACACCAAATGTTATTGCAAGGACGAGATCCTCTTATAAGATTGAATACCGTAAACCAATCTACTAATGAGTACTTATGAAGTTTTTAATATGATTAGATTAATATTTCTTATGTTTTTTCTTCAAGGTCCAAGGTATAACTGGTGTGTCTACAAAATATATTATGACGCTCAAGTCAACCAAAAATATTAAGATAAGAAATATTCATAATAAATGAATGATGATGATATCTTGAAATATTCGTTTATATATATATATATATATATATATATATATATATTTTTTTTTTACTTTTATCAAGGATCTAAACTTCTTGATTTTATTTAGTGTTATGTTTTTTTACTAAATACACATACTTAATCCTAGTTAAGTTCGATTTTATATATATATATATATTTCACTCTACAATCTATTTAATATTACAAATTTATTTTTTTAATATGTACTTAACCTTAATTTTATAGTAAATATTTACTGAGATTTAAAAACATGTTTATAAATATTTTATATAAATTTAATGTTATATATTTCTTAGAGGAAACTTAGCTTGTGTATTGGTCCGTATCCTTCCATTCAATCTTGTTGCATCATATCCCTAGTTTTCATTGATCGAAAAGCTTGAGATTGCTAAATCATTGTAAAATCCACATGAGTTTAAAAAAAATGAAAAGTATATGATTTAGTGAGGGAAGAATGAGTAAACACAAATACTGGATTTGGCAATTGGAAGAATGATGGTTTTGATATATGCCATTTTAGGTAAGAATAAATTATTGGGTCTGAAAAAAAAACAAATAGCAGAATAATATCACACTTGAGGAAGAATTGTAAAATAAAAAAAATAGGGTTGTAGAAATCATTTTACCCTTCTAAAAAAGCGTTTTGCTAGTGGTGAAAAATTGCAAGTTGGTACATGTCCCAAAACAGAGATAGAAGAAGCCGTCGCTGGTGACTGGGTGAAGTAAATTGTAATCCCAGAGTCGGAAGAGAAGATGGAGATGGAGGAAGCCACAGGTGGTGGCAACAACAGTGACAGTAGGATTCAATGGTGGTGGGGTGTGGCCAGTGCTGCCCAAATGGGTTTGGGTATGCGTTCCTTGGCCAAAGGGTACGCAGGCGATTCACGCTTCATGCCTTTCAAAGCCTTCACCGTCGCATCCCTCTTTGTCGGCAGCGCCGCATCCGCCTCCGTCCTCCTCCTCCAAGCAAACGGCATCAACGGGGTACTGCTCTCACCATCATTCCATTTTCTGTTTTCTGACTATCTCGCTTTACGTTTTGCGTTTGTCATCGCTTAAGGATCAATTTTGTGTTTTGGGTGGAAGGAAAGGCATATCTGTGTTGCATTGAATTTTAACGAGGATTGTTGCTTGTGGAGTGTGGGTGGGTCTCGATGGAAATGTAGTTTTAGTGGGGAAAGAAATTGATGGGTTTATGCGATTTGCTGACTTTGGAGAGTGCATTCTAAAATTGGTTTTGGTTTGTTTTTTGTTTATTTGTTTCTATTGATGGGAAGAAGTTCTGCTTCTAAGAAATGTAGGTTAAAAAGGGAGGAAGTGTCGCTCAAGTTTTTAAAAGTTTTGTGATTTGTATTAGGCAGTGGGAATCTAGTTGTGAGTGACAGGTCAACTAAGTTTTTGTTACTTGTAGACTGAAGTTGGGTGAGGATGAAATATCTTCTTAGTGGGGAAAAACTGTGTGATCCTGTAATTTGCATAGTGAATTGTAAAGTGGTTTTTGTTTGTTTACACCTTCGAAAAGTTAGCTTTTTCGGCAGTGCAAGTTATTAAGGAAGTTTGAGCTTGAAAGAGGATAGTAGTGTATACTCTCTGATATTAAAGTTGGAAGAAAGAAACTATTGCGGTTAAGTTATTTGGTGGTGGAACTGGAATAGATTACTAGTTCCATTGGACTGTAAGAAACTATTGTGTTTAGATCATTGACCAAAGAGAAAAACTATTTTATCTACTGAAAATGCCTTAAATATTTTTTCCTATTATTAATGTTTGGTCATATTTTGGCAGCACTGATTACATCATATTAGTGCATTGTTCTCCCATGGCTTCCATGAAATCTAGATATGATAATCCATCTCAGTTAGCCCTTGGTTGATTATTTGACTCTTGAGTAACATCAGTTACAAAATTATTGATAAATGATATGATTTTTAACTAAATTTGCAAAATGAGTAAGATGTTTGATATTGGTGTAGTTGAATATTGATTAACTGAGGCCACATTCAATTGATCTTGATCTGTTTGTGCTGACTGCATAGTTCATGTAGTTGAACAGTGAAGAGAAATATTTTAGGTGAACAGAGTTGTCATTATGACTAATTTCACATGAGATCAATTACCTGTTAATTCTAAACGAATCTCTACATTATGGAGAGTGATAGTTTCAGATGCATTTTTGTTCTTTGTATTCCTTAGGTTGTTGAACAAGGGAGAAAAAAGCACTGATATGCTGCTTGGTTACTTAGATCAAATTCTTCCTTGACTTAAATATTGTGTAGACATAATAAACTTGAACTCATAGCTAGTTCTTCTATACTGTACTTTTAATATAAAGTATTGTGATAGTTAGGAATGTGTGGTGATTACTTACAAAAAGTCAGAGGAAGTAGGGTTAAGGATATCCATTCACCCATATAGCTAGAGCTGAGGTAAGGTGAAATCATGTCAACCAGGATTGTTTTTTCCTATGTGAAGGTATTGATGGATTTTATTAAAATACAAAAAGGGCACACTATAAATTGCTAATGGTTGTGAAAAAAATACCAATTGTTCAGTTACATATAAACTCGTGGTACAATCTGTGTTCTGTGGTGTAATGTTTTAAACTCTTGAATCTTACAGATTCTTCATTCATATGACAAAACTATGCATTTGGTGCATGGAAGAAGTTGTTAACTTGTTTATTTGTGTTTCATTAGCCTTTACATGTAGCTCATCATTTTTATATTTATGCTGTAGTTCTCTTTAAAAACTATGTTAATTTGTTTGGATCAATCAATTGGTTTATTTTTCTTATAATAGTATAAACTAAAATTGGCTTCGGATTGTTGATTGATTCTTTGCCCTACATTTAGATTTTTGTTATTTTCCTTTGCTTTTGTTTTTGTATTTTTTTCTAACATTCATGATATTACGGAGATGTGATTTATATATCTCCTTTACAGTCTTGCATCAATCAGTGCTATATTATCATTTTATTGTGTGCAAACCCTATCTAGTAGAAAAACCTTTATACTAGTCATTGTTACCCTTTTGGGACCTAAGTATCACGACTCAATAATTGTAACTTGGCTATTTTGAAATGAATGATACTATGGATGGTCATGATATTGATACCAAAGAAGTTAAATTGGGAGTTATATCATAAGACAATTGTATTTTGCACGTCATTATCATTTCTTATTTTGAAGATGGTTTTGTTGATGGGAACTTGGAATGGAGGATGCGAAAATGACTGGTGGAATGTTTTGTTGTGAACTTGTTATATATGTAAAGAACTATTGATGGTCTTTTCACTTGACTGCAGGATCTGGTTCCCTTTTGTCAATGAATTATATGACTGCTCAATATCATTCTCAGCTCCTACTTTATATTATTGCATATAGGTGGAAGATGTCATGGAAGCAGGTGCAAATTTAAGAGCAAAACTTGGGTTACCTCCACGTACTCAGAATAAGTAAGCATATGCTTATAGTTTGTACAATGAAAATATATCTCCAATCTGAATTCTGTCAAATAAACGTTCTGCATAAGTTTTAAAATATTGTTTACCAGTGCAAAGGGAGAAAAACAAAGATTGGTGTTGTGTTAAAATTTTGAATTTTGCTAACAAATGTTCTCAGGGTACTAATTACTGGATGAACCATAAAAGCATTTAATATCCTGAAGTCTCAGAAATCATTTATGTTTTCTTATTTGTATAAAGGATTTGATGAACGGTATCAAATGCTTTTAAGTCATTTTTTTATGCACATTTGTTAGCTAGACTCTTCAAATTTATTACAAATATGGAGTGAACTATAGGGATGGGGATTTCACCAAAGTTAATTTTTAGGGGTGGAAAGGGGTAGATTAATTGCTTAAACATTTGAAAATATGGAGGAACAATCTATCCTTTTTCTGAGATCCCATGAAATTTGTACGTGCTTTAATATGTTGAATCATTTGACTGACTCCTTTATTGTGCAAATACAATACATTTGGACATACTTACAACTCAACTAGAACTCATTTCATACTTTAAGGGGCTAGAGATAGAATAATATATTACCTATTTTATCCCCTTCTAGAATATCTTCTCTTCTTTTGTTTCTTTTATTAGGACAACATAGTCTTTCTTGGCCTTCTAACATTCTTACTCATTTTTTTAATGTAGTTGTTCATGGTTTTTAATTCACTTGTAGGTCTTCTATGAAATAAAAGTATATTTATTTGGATAGGAAAATGGATGATTCATGACAAAAGCTCAGCCATGTCTTGTGCTGATATCTTGTGGTTTGATTCCCTGGTGGATACAAAAATTAAAGGAAACGTTCATGGGATGGTAGTTGCAAGGATTGAAGGTTTTATGGCAAGTTAACAATCATTTGCTTGTTAGAAACTTCACCTGATGGATTTTATCAGTTACTGCCCTCAGGATTCGCAATACCTAACCATTTGGTGCATCAATTATCCATTGTGTCATGTTATTTAGTTAACTTTTAATGGAATATAGTCAACACTTTATTTGGCACTCGCAGTCGTGCCATTATTTCATGAAATGGAATTTAGCTTGCACCCTCTATAAAGAGAAAGTGTTGTTTTTCATCCATCTTAACCGTAAACCATTTTTCCTACCAATTTATTTGCCATTTGCTGTTTTTCTTGTCTTGAAAGAGGTTCAGATATCAGCATTTCATGTATCGTTATGGAACTGTTCAGGGGATTCATTTAAAATCATGAAAATATAACGAATAAATACTCAGAAAGTGGTTAAAGTTAAAATTCCAATTTTTGGAAGAACAATATTTGATTGGTGGGAGGAAGCAACTGCATCCAACCACTTTCATTGACATTTGTATATAACATCTGCTTACTAGGATGAGAAGAGGTAAAAACATAAAAATGGTGCATTTTATTTTCAAAAATTACCAAAATGAGTACTTGTTTTACAAAATTATAGATTTGAGTAAGTTGATTGGAAGCACGACTTCTTGAAGAAGTCGTATCTCCAAACGATGATTTCATTTTTTTTTTGTTAAGATTTTGTTTTTTGTTTTTTTGTTTTTCTAATATTGGTAGAATTCGAGTTACATAACTATTTGGTTTTTTTTAGGAGATAACTATATTGACAAACATGTGTGACAAATTTAATTTTTTCAACAGTCCATTAATTTCAGATTGTTTGATTACATTTATTGTCATCTCTTTTGATTGAAAATACATCCCTTCTGGATATTGCTTCTAATAATGTTTATGCATATCAATTGCAAATACATGCTTTCTTGTTATGACAGGTTCATACTCATTTAGCATGGAATTGCCACTAACTTCAAACCTATTATTCTTTTATGCTAAGAAATACATTATTTTAATATGTCTTTGTAAAATACAAAGTGTAGAAGGGAAAAAAAAAAAAAAAACTTCAAACATAGCAAAAGTTGTGACTCGGTTCCACAATATGCGTATATAGGATGAAATTTCACTTGGTTTGTAATTTTTTTATATTATAAATGAGTCTATAGTTGAACCTCATGCTACTGGTTGACATGAAAGCGCATCTTGAATTTTCCACTGAAGGCATTAATAGTGCACGAATACTTAAAAATGTTTTTAGGTGTAAAAAAAATATGAACTTTTATTTATTTTCTCAAAATTTTGCATTAGAACATGAAATTTTGTTGAAGTCGTGCACTAAAGTACAACTTTAGTTGCTTGAACTTTGCTCAAAGTCATGCATTGAAACGTGATTTCCATTGATTGTGTTTTTGGGTGAACTCGTGCGGTGAAGCACGACTTCAAGCAACTCAAAGTCAAACACAAGTTTGTTGTCTTCTTCCTCTCACTCATTTGTTGGTTTCTTCCACTGTCTTCTTCGTCAAAGGCTATAACCATTCTATATGTTGTTCGCATCATTGTTTGTGTGCAATTGCAAGATTCCAATGCAAGCTATTCCCTCGCGTCACACCATTGCAATTGTAATAAACGTTTTGACCTCTGTTTATTGGTGTATTGAGAGGTGAATTGAACACTGTTTAGACTCTTCACCCATGAGTCCAAGGTTCCCCAAGTCAAATAATATATATAATATTCACACACAAACATTGGATATAATTTCTACAAAACATTTTCGTGCTTTTGCCTCTTCTAAACATTTTGAAATTTTGGGAGAAATGTTTTAAATATTCCAAAATATTTTAAATTATTTTAAATATTGGAGATTTCACCCAATCATGTATTATAATATATTATGAATATCTATAACTCTAAATGATGTTAAATTTTGTAAAATCTCATTAAACATGTATTTTATACATTAGAAATAATTTAAATTCTTTTCATCCTTGTGAAGAAGCCATTGTGACATTAGAAAAATGTGATTTTGGAGTCTCTCTTACCGATGTTTATAATAGTGTTTTGACAAATCTTTATTAGGTTTGTATGATGGTTCAATATTGCTTTTCAACAAATTTTTTATGATGCAAATAAAAAATGTTAGTTCAATGCACTTATTTCCCCATGAAACATATTGTGTTTTTTAAAATTTATTATTACTATTTTTTATTAATCTTGAATTTGTTGAATTTGATGCATTTTAAATTTTCATTATTCAAAATATGAATTAAATCAAGTTATCTATAATTACCTTAAATTATATTTAATTTGCATAGTGCTTGATTAAATTATATTAAAATTTAATCAATTCTACTACATGAGTAATGTATGTTCTAATGCATATCATTGCATACATTAAGCCGATTGCATATTCATAAGAAACTTTAGTCATTGTTGTCTTATCTTCATCTGTCTTAGGTGACTCCAATTGAGTGAGATTAAAGTGAATACTTAAATGTGTACTTACGACTTTGGCATCTTGCATATTGAATTTCTTTAACACTTTCCCAATATACTTCTCTTAAGATAATATTAGGAAACCTTCAAATTTGTTCCTACTGATATTCATGCCCAAAATCTGTTTTATAATACCCAAATCTTTCATCTCAAGCTCTTGAGACAATTGTGTCTTCAATCTATTAATTTTATCCATATTAGAACCTGCAACTAACATGTCATCTACATACAATAATAATATGATATAGCATAAATCAAAATTTTTCATATAACAACATTGATCCATGACACACTTCTGGTACCCTATCCTACTCATAAAACTATCAAACTTTAAGTATCATTGTTTAATGCTTGTTTCAACTCATACAAACTCTTGGTCAACTTGCAAATCAAGTTCTCTTTCCCTACAACTTGGAAACCCTCTGATTACATCATGTAGATGTCCTCATCAAGGTCACCAGATAAGAATGTTGTCTTAAAATCTTTCTGCTCTAGATGTAATTCCTCTACAACCATAATACTCAACACAACTCTAATGATAGTCATTTTAACTACAGGAGAAAAAATTTCATTATAGTTAATACCTCTTTTTTGCTGAAAGTCTTTCACCACTAACCTTGTCTTGTATCTTTTGTTGTCATCATGTTCTTCCTTGATCCTGAAGACCCACTTATTCTGCAATGCTCTCTTTCCTGTTGGTAAGTCAATCGCACACCAAGTTTTATTTTTCTCAAGTGAGTTCATCTCCTCTTGCATAACTAACCCCAACTGAGCTGCATCATTCATCTGCAATGCCTAATCACAACACAAAGGTTCTCCACCATAACACAAAAGTAATTTGTTGAAGAAGAAAACCTATGAGGAGGCCTAATAACTCTGTTGGATATCCTCACTTCAACTACTAGGGTGATAGAAATAGTCTCCTCAATAGTCCTATTTCCTAAGCTCTCATCTTTTCCTGAAAGATAATCTTTTGTAGCGTCCTTTAACATTACATTTTCCTTTTATGTTGGCTTCTTTTTAGCTTCAACTTTTGTCTCAAGTTTATCCTTGTACATTGCATTTTTATTAAATGTAGCATCTCTTCTTGTAATGATCTTTTTGCTGTAATCATCTTAGAAGCGATATCCCATAGCATCTGCTCCATAGCCAATAAAAATGCACTTTCTTGCTTTCGGATCAAGTTTGTCCTTGTTAACATCTTTAACACGAATATAAGAAGCACAACCAAATACTTTCAAATGAGAAAGACTTACATCTTTGCCTTGTCATTCTTCCTCAAGAATTGTATATCCTATGGGAACTAAGGGTCCTCGATTAATGAGACATGTTGTTGTGCTCACTATTTTTGCCCAAAATATCTTCGGTAATCCTGTATGAATTCTCATACTTTTTGTCTTCTCATTCGGGGCCTTATTCATTCTTTTAGTAATATTATTCTATTGAGGTGTCTTGGAAATAATTTTAAGCATTCTAATTCCATTCTTAGCACAATAATAAACAAATTCAATACTACTTCGTTCACCACCATTATCACACTTTAAACATTTAATTTTTAACCCTGTCTCATTCTTAACAATGGTTTTTCACTTCTTAAAGGTATTAAATACTTCTGATTTTTGTTTCGAAAAATAAACACATACCTTTCTAGTGGAATCATCAATAAAGGTGACATAATATCGTGATCCTCCCAATGACGAGACTAATGTTGGCCATACACATCTGAATGAACAAGTTCCAACTTCTCTAGTTTAGACATCCTCCCTGACTTTGCAAAAGTAACTCTTTTCTGCTTTCCAAACACAGATGGTTCATAGAAACCAACTTCTACCTTTTCCAGTTCTGGAATCTTCCTCTTTGAGACTAGTATTTTCATATCTTCTCGTTCATGTTAGCAAGCTTTTGGTGTCACAAAGTTGAAGAATGACCAAAATTATTGCCAACATAATCACTAATTGAATTTACTTCTTCTATAGGTAATTTTGTCATGTATAAGGTTCCTTTCTTCCAACCATGAGGAATAATTAGATTATCATTCACCACCTTCCATTTGCCTTATCCGAATATGACTCGATATCCTTGAACATCTAACATACCCATAGAGATTAAAATTCTCTTGAATCATGGAATATATCTAACATCCTTAAGAGTTCATACTATACCCATAGATATTTTAAGATTTATATATCTCATATCTGCGATGTCTAAAGTTTCATCATCTGCTAGACGCATTTTGCCAAAACTTATACTTCTGAAAATTTTCATCAAATCCTTGCAAGGAGAAACATGGAAAGATGCATAAAAATCCATGATCCAAGATTCAAATTGCTCTCAATACAACATATCAACATATCATCCCTGTCTTTTTCTATTGCATTCATTGTATTGTCATGCCTATTTTCTTTAGAAGCAGTACACTAATTCCTAAAGTATCCGTTCTACTGACAATTCCAACAAGTAATATCCTTGCGAGATTTGGGTTGTCTTTGCTCCTTGGACTTTGATCTACCACGTCCACAACCTTACCCTCTTTCAGGCTTTCTACCTTTACTTTTGGTGCTTAATAAGGAATTTGTTGATTCTTCAACATTCCTTTTACGAACATCCTAATTAAGGATTAAATCCCTAATTCCTTCAAAGATTAATTTCATAGTCACATATGTACTGACTACTGCTGTGACAATTCCTGACCAACTATCAGGCAATGAAGATAATAATAACAGGCTTATACTTCATCATCAAATTTAATATCCACTTACACTAATCTTGACAATAAGAAATTAATTTCATTCACATGATCTGTAACACTAACACATTCTTGTATCTTCGTATTAACTAATTAATGAATCAAAAATACCCTATTTGATGCTGATGGTTTCTCGTACATGTTTGATAATGCTTTTAACAAACCATATATCGTCTCATTAATGATGTTGTAGGCAATATTTTTCGCAAATGTTAATCTGACAACGCCCAAAACTTGTTGATCTAATAACTCTCAATCTGTTTGAAACATCGTTTCTGGTTTATTCTCAAACAAAGGCTGGTACAACTTTTTTTGATAAATATAATCTTCAATCTGCATCTTCCAAAATACGAAATCGCTTCCATCGAATTTTTTAATCTTCACTTTCTCGTATTCAGCCATTGCTCTCACTCGCATGAAAAAAACCTAAACTCTTGATACTAGTTGTTAGAAACACATATGTAGTACAAGACGAAAATAAATAACAAAAACACAAAGAATTTACATAGTTCAATCAAAGTGACTTACATACGACTGCGCTAGATAATAATTCTTATTCACATGATTAGGTTTACAATTATATAAATATTTATAATAAAAAAATAAAAAAATAGGTCAAGTCCAATAACCTTTTAGACTCCACATATTTAGCATACAACATTAAGGAACAATTCAAAATTACAACCATACAAACTTAAGTGAAAATGAAAGTACATGGTTCATCACGATGATCTTTGGTTGGATGCATTTTCTAAAGAACATGGGAAGGAATAACATACACCAGTTTTACCACTAAGAGTAAGTAAGTCAAATTCTCCAAAGGTAAATGTGTGATTTTTCTTGAAAATAGGACGTCTAAGTTCTACATATCCACAGTACTCCACCTCATTTACCGCAACATCCTTTCTAACTGAAGAAACAGCCACCTTAACTCCTTCTCCTGCAAATGTTTAAGTCGGTTACATTTCTACTTGGGAGAACAATTTCATGTTATTTCTAACTTTCTTTATACTACTTTTGCTTACTATAAAAAACTCTGAAGTAATCAAGAATTGAATTTTTTACCATGTGTAACAAACAGTAAGTTCTCGGTAGGATATTTATCTGCAAGGTCCTTAATTAACTGCTTATATCTTTCCTCTGCTTCTAAATCTGATTCACCCCACTGTGGAAGCTGAAATTCATAATCCGTCAACCCTAATAATGTTAGTAGGATGCATACCTAGAAATTATTATATTAAGTTGAAGTCTCCTATACCTCTTTATACACCCTTTTAACATTTCTATCCACTATCCCATGTGGAAGCATGGCTTCACACTCTGCTATATCAAACCTCATATTTCCATCTTTAGGAGCAACATTTGGACGAATAGCCTTGTTGTTCATCATTTCACACAATCCGTACTCAATAGAGACCTGTCCTTTAGACATACAACATTACAAAATTGTAAATTTATAACCGTTATAGACCAAGAAAAAGAATACCAAACGAAAATCACGTTTCAATCCTTCAATAATAATATTTGTTATGCTTATACTGTGGTTAAATACTTTTATTCTAAACTTTTCTATATCTCCTCTTTTACTTATAAACTACACCTAAAAAATATATGAGATTTTGAAGTACATGGTTTTGTGCTGAGAGAAGATAAATAGACATTACAACTCCATCATTCATTCAACATACTTAGGAAAACTTAATAAAGCCCATAAATTGGTGTTAATGAATGATATATGTATTATTAGTATTGTTGTGTTTCATTTTATTCATAGAACTGTTTTCATATTTTAACTAACTCTTCATACTTTTCCTACAAAAAACAAACTCTTCAAACCACTCCCACTTCTATTATTTAACTTCTTTTTTATTACTTTTTAAAATGCACAAATCCTTTGTTATATCTAATCAATATAAAATTGTTTTCATCTTGATTCTTAACTCTCTTTTTTTTTTTCTGATTTGGTCGATTTCCTTTTTCTTTTCATTTTAGTCTCTTTTTTTGTATGGAAAAATATTTGACTTTAGTCTTTAGTGTTATACAGTTCAAATTTCCTATAAAGCTTCAAACTTTCGACACCCTATAAAAATTTACTTTTCTGATATAATTTTGGTTTATGTTAATATATTCTGTTTTAATCTTTATTATTCAATAAATATTAAACCACTTTTTTTCAAATTTTATTAACCATGTTACTGTCACTTAACAGAGTCATAAAACTAAAACAAAACAAGCTGACCTTGACTTCAGAAGGGTCAACAACGGTAACACCATCGCCGGTGGTGGGGCTGCCACCCTCCTCCCCGGCGGAGAGGGAAGCGACGAGTTCGACGGCGGTCTGGACGCAACGTAGGAACGGCGAAACGAAGACCCGCCGGATCGGAAATCCGAGACTGTCTCGGAGCCTCCGGCCCGTTTCGAAAGCCCGTTTCCGGCCCGGTTCGGCCAGAGGAGGATCCCAGGGCCGCGCGGCGGTGGCGGCCCACGAAGGGTGGAAGTTGTCGAAGCGCTCGCCGTGCCTCATTACTACGACGTTCTGGAAAGCGGCACCGTGGTTTCCTCTGGAACCCATCTTGAAAGAACCTACAGAGAGAGAACGAGTTCGCGTTTCGGAAATTGCAAGAGAAAATGAGGATCGAGCTTCTCTTCTATGCACGCTATTAATGAGTGCGGTCATGCTCGTGAAATTGGTTTCCACTTTCCACAAAGAAAGTTTTTTAGTTTGGGTTGTCATTTTTCGCAGAAAAAAACGCTTGAAAACGATACCTTGGTGGAGGAATGTCATGCTTCTAACTAGCTGTCACATCCAAATTTTTCTTTTTTTCTTTCTAATTTTACTTATATATATATATCAATTAATCTACATTATTCACTAATTAAATATTTAATACTAATTCTTATATAAAAATGATACATCGACTCCTCCTAAAATATTAAATAACAGCTAGAGAGATTGATCATAGAAAAAGAGATAGAATTTAGAAAGAAAGAAATTATAAGTATTAACTGAACGTATAAAAAGTAATAGTAATTAATCATGTGACAAAATAAGCTATGATGATAATCGTGTGACTCTAATGCTACAAAACAAAACAAAACAAAACAAACGTTGTATTATATGCCTACCATATTCACATGTAATTTCCTTAAATTTAAACAAATCCATGTAGTTGGTACAAACCTTCTTCAAATTATATTTTTCTTCCCAATAAAGCGTATGAATATAGAACCTTTGTTTAAAAACACGAATCTAGTTTCATTGGAGGTAACAATGATATCATCAATTGCATTCGAAGTTTTGAAATAGATCGTCACGTCATTCTCTCTGTATGGTGTTTATAGCAATTCAACTAAAAAACTAATTAAAAACAACCAGGAAATAAAATAAGATGAAGCTTGACGTACCTGTAGACAGTGATCGAAAGCTAGTAACTTTATTATACACCTGCAGCAACATAACATCTTGTAACTGAAGAGGGAAATGAAACAGTATATTACAGTGAAAAAGGAAAAGAGAAACAAAAAGAAGCATAACAAGTGATGATGATAATGCAGAAAGAAAATGTTAATTTGGGGATTTCAGAGAGCACCTTAGAGCTTTTCTGCAGAATGGGAGCTAGGGGAAGTAACCTTAACGAAGGCATGGCGATGAAGAATAAGAGGAGAAGATGGGGAAGACGAGAGAGACCCTTTTGAATTGAAGGGGTGAAACGAATGAGAATAGTTAAATATTGAAAATTTTCAACGCGTGTGAATTTAAGAGGAAAAGGGTCCAAGAAAGAACCGGAGGAAGGTTCGTGAAGTGCGTTCATAATTGAAATTGTCAAGAAAATAGTGCTGTCAATTGGTTTCTCTCTTACTTTTGTGACTGTACGTTGGTGCTCAAAGGCAACCCCAAAGTCACTTCATTGACTTTGATTATTGCTGCAACATGCGCGTATGCATCACTTTCATATTAAGATTCATCAGTGTTCTTGCTAATAGGCAACCATAGGAAAATCCACTCGTTTATCAGACTTTTTCTAATGTAAAAAATGTTGCAACGGAATATTTGGAGCTTCAAAAGGAAAGTGTCCTAAATAGCTGGTTAAAGTCTTGCAATTGTTTATAGTTGGCTTTAGGTTAACTTTTAAGAAGTGTTATCACCTCATCAATTTGGGTCATGAGCTTCTTCCTTACATTTCAGGTACTTTCCTCCTTCCTCCATCCCTATTTTCTTTCTTTACCCTCATAATTCCGTTAGAAGACACTGTTATTTCCTTATTTCACAGTATTCAGAATCATAAATTAAATTTACCAATTTCGATATTTTTATCCACCAATTCACAACATTTCAAAATATTTTTCAAGATTATCAGTTTCCTAAAACTTAGTAGGGGTAATATTGTCCTTTTATTTTATATATTGAATGTCAATGCTTCGGCCCAAATTATACTGGAAGCCCATGTTGCCTATTAAATGTCAAATTTAATGGCTCAACCTTTTCCAAATGTCAGTGATATTTTGTTCTCTCTAAATATAATTTCAAACTGTTAAAATTAGTGTATTTTTTTTATTTTATAATTTTTTATTTAATTTTAGTTCCTCTGAATTTTTAATTTATTTATAGTATTATGTAACACTTGTTAATTATTTGTGTTTAAAATGAAAAAAAAAAGGTTATCATTTCAGATGATCTTATAATGTTAATGATACAATGTCAGCAAATAATACTTCAAGAAATTGCAAGATCTATAAAATATATTATATATTTTTAAGTAAATATTAGAGACTAAAATATTGATTTGAATTTTTGGAAAGATGAAATACAAAAAAATTACAAAAATTAAAGCCAAAATTCATATTTTTGTAAAAATATTAATGATTGCAAATTTTGCAGAGATAAAAAAATAAAAAATTGATAAGAATAAAAATCAAAACTCAATCTCCTTTTGCAGGACGTATGGATCCACAAAACTGGGGTCTTATTTGTTGACTGATTATCATTTACCACGGTTTTGTTTTGTAATGAAATTCATAGAAGTATAACTTTAATAACAATGGTATTTAATTCAACTTTTTTTAAGTTTAATTTTTATATTCATGAAAAAAGATTTTTGGATTTTACTTGTTAAGAAAAAAAATGAGCTGAAAAAAGATATTATATATATATATATATATATATATATATATATATATATATATATATATATATATATATTATTTTAATAATAATAAAAGTTTGTTAAAATTTGAAGTATTATTGACATTAAGTTAAAACATAATCAAGCAAATAAGAAACAATATTCAAATGTCAGTGATGAGTTCCTCACTCTCTTTTAAAAGAATAGATTATTTTTAGGAGAATCAATAGAAATATTATTAGAAGGTAAACATCCTCCGTACTTAATGAATTCTCGTGTTCCTATGAGAAGAGAGACTATCCCTAGAGGATAAATAGAAGAAAGTCTTTTTCTCATCCTTAACCTTTAATTTACTTAGTATTTTTTATTTCTTTTAATTTTCTAAACTCATATTTAAATCTTATTTTGTAGGATTACTAAAGAACACCTCTCTTTTGAAGTTCACTACCTTTTTTGAAGGAAAAAAGTCTTGGACCCAAAAATTTAAAACATGGACAACCCAAGAGGAAAGAGATGGTCAACCATTGATCTTCTAGATGAGAAAAGGCCACGATTTTTGGAGGGTAAGGCAAGGGAGAAACCCTTTCTAGGTTAAAATTAGGGCAACATATGCTTATAAAATCCCTAATAAAATTTCTTTTAGGTCCCTCTCACACTCATGCATATATATACAGAAGGCTTCCCACCTCTTATAAATAGTTAGAAATTGAATAAAAGTTTAAGAGTTATTTTCTTTAAGTGTTATCCTTTCTTGAGTCTTATCTTGAACATTGGTTCAAGTGGCGGTGACCACCACTCATCTTGGGTTGGTTTATCCCCCAAGTGGTGTGTCATCACCCCTTGTTCACCCTATTTCTTCTCTTCTTCATTTTTGTTTCCTTTTCTTCTTATATTTATTGCATTGTTGATCCTGCTCACCTTATTTCTTCTCTTCTCCATTTTTGTTTCATTTTCTTCTTATATTTACTACATTGTTGATCATGCATGTCCTACCCCTTTATATTTGTCATTTCATGTTTTAAATTACCTCTTCTCCTGTCTTGAATCATTGGAAGTACACCTAGATAAGTGATTATCTTAGTGTCCAATGAGAATCTTTCTTGGATTTTCTCATCTTAATTATATCAAACACCTTATGTGCTTAAATTAAAAACTACACTCATATAAACACTCTTATCTTGTAATTTACTTATTATTTTTCCTTCTCTTTAAATTTCCTAAACTCACATTTAATCTTGTTTTTGTAAGATTACTTAAGGACACCTTTATTTTGAAGTCTTCCACATTTTTTTCGAGGAAATGAGTCTTGGACCCAAGCCTTTGAAGCATGGGTGACTCATAAGAGAAGAGAAGGTTAACCCTTGACTTTTTAAATGAGAAAGGTCATGCCCTTGGAGGGCAAACCAAGGGAGTCGTCCCTTTAGGTTAAAATAGGGCAACATATTCTTTTAAAATCCTAATATAATTCCATTTAGGTCTTTCACTCATGCCTATATTTAGAATATAAAAGGTTCTCCACCTGTTGTAAGTCGTTATAATTTGAATGAAAATTTGAGAGTATCTCTCTTGAATGTTCTCCTTCCTTTAATCTCATCTTGAACATTGGTTCAAGTGGCGGCAACCACCACTCATCTTAGGTTGGTCCATCCCCAAGTGACGTGCCACCGTCCACCCTTCACCTTCCACCCCTCCCCTCTTCTCTTCCATTCTTTGCTTCTTTTTTCTTCATTTCTTATCTTGTTTTTCCTTTTCTAGTAGTTCACGTCCAAACCCTTGGTTGGACCTTAAATTTTGTTAATTATAATTTTGTGTCTCTCCTTCCCTCTCTTGAATCCTTGGAAGTGAAGTTTCACACTTAAATAAGTAATTATCTTCATGTCCAATGAAAATCTTCCTTGGGTTTTCTCATCATAATTATCTCAAACATCTTATATACTAATCTTTAAAATTGGACTTATATCATTTGATATCAAAGTGAGTTTCCATGAGTTGACTAGTTTCTATAGGTGATATTCCCTTATTTTAAAAGATTTAAGTGGTTTTTGAATTTTTAAATATTAGATGAAGATATTATTTTCAAACTTGGTTACTGAATTGTTAATAGTGTGAAATTTTGAATTAATATATTATGTAATAGTTTTAAAATTTAGGATAAAATTTTATTTAGCATAATTGAGACAAAATTCTAGTTTGTCGTTGTGATGATAAGGATGAAAACTTTAAGTTTAGCGCCAATGTTTTTGTGAAAAATCTGAAGTTCGGAAGTGTTAATATTTGTATTTCTTTCTTAATGAAACAATCCTCAGTATGGTGATATTAAGACTAAAGTCTATAGAGTATATAACATAAGTGGTGGACTTTCTATATTTATATAAGAGAATTTTGATGAAGAGTATGGATGATAAAACAGGTGAATTCGTTCTATTTTGATCCGTCCCGCCTCCGGGTCGCCAAAAAAATGTGGGGCGGGCTAGTCCGCCATAGTTATGACTGACTACATACCTTAACCCACTTATAATTTTTTTATATATATTTATTTAAAAAATATATATCT